GTTAGGACCCAAAAGAAGTAACTGGATAAGGACCCTGCACAGGTTAGGAAGACTAACCTGGCCTGAGGACTGTGGTTTGGAATATATAGTGAGATGTCCTCAGGAAGAACCAAACTTTAAGTTTGAAATATCTCTTACTGTGTTCATACAGAATGACATTACTAGAAATATTGGAAGTAGATTTACTACAACTATTTAAGTGGATTACTAGCTGAGGAAAGAAGAAAGCGACACACCCTGGATGGGATCCTACCCTTGAGAGGATTCCCCTAGTAATCTGGAGTAACCTCTTAGATGAGATTTTATCTTCGAGTTAATCTCCTGGAAGAGTGGCTATATCTCTCTTTATTGAGTTGTTAATGTTCAACCTCACTTTTGTATTACCACCCTACGAGATTGCTATATAAACTAAGACTGTAAAATCAGAGAGGAATCTGAGGGCTATGAATGAAAAAGATCTAGGAATGAATAGCGTGTGAGATGGGAGAGATGAGAGATTGAATAAATGGCAACTAATCAGCAACCAGCTTGGTCCTCTTTCTTCCTTTGTCCATCCAAGGCAACAGGGTGGAGAAGTGCCTGGAGAGCACCGAATGTGGGCGGCGAGAAATCGAGCCGCCCAGAGAACCCGCAAACACATCCTTTCGCATGTATATTTTTTACACAGGACCAACCTGGGTCTTCTTTGCAAGACTCAGAAACCCACTAGGAGGGAAAAAAAATTGCTAAAGGATTATTTAGATGGGATTGAGAAAAAGCTGGGTTTGAGATGCTTTGTTCTTGGCACTAAAGATCTGAAGTTCATGAAAAATACAGCTGCCTCTGATTTTCTGGATCCTCTTGAGAGCTTCTTCCACCCCTAGGAAGAAGTTCTATCTGCCCCCAAGACTTCATCCTGACTTCTGCAGTGGGTTCTGAAATAATTTTATTGATTCCCAGATGAAGGTGTTCTCTTATTAAACTGGGCTCATGTGGCCTCCTGGTACTAAGTCAGCCTGCACAGCTATGCTCTAAGAGTAGTAGAAGTCTGAGTGGCCAACTAGCCATGGCCACCTCCACAGTTTCCCTCTTGCCATGTCCTGTTTGAACTCTAGAAAGTAGTTTTCGTGACACCCAAGCACTGCATGTTCTTTGTAGACCTCACTTCTTTTAGGAAACCTCTGCAAGAATTTATCTTTATGCTACCACCAGGTTAATTTTGAAGTAGTATTTATTGAAGGTAAGACTAACAATCTCTTTTTCCCTTTTTTTTCAGTCTTTTTTAAAATAATCTTCTTCTGATTATTGAATAACAGAAAATATTACAACACCAAATCCAAACTGATTCCCTGCCATGGAATTTTGGGCGGCTGTACCACATGGAGTTTGGTACAGGTCCAATGCACAGTTCACTAGACTGCTTTGTGGGATCTGCATTGAGCAAATTTGACTCTGCTCAGTCATTGCATCTACACCAGTGTTTTTGGCATGAAATAGAGGGCTAATGATCACTGTGCACTGATATTACATAAGCTAAGCCTTGAATCTTGGATTTCCCTATGGCCATGTTCAAGGCTTGTAGGATAACACTGTTCTGTCCTTCCTGCATAGCCTCAGATAGTTTGGGTTTATTGGGTTGGTCCCATCACAGTGTTCCCATTTCTCTGTGTTTGTTTGTAACTTTTCTTTGCGCTCTGTTGACTTGTAAATATTGTTTTTCTCTTGTCCCTAAATCCTTTGCATAGTTTATTCAGGGCAGTGTCCTTTTCGTATGGACACAAGAAGACATGCTTTTGTAATGTTACTCACAGTGATATTTCCCTCCTGTGCATCTGTTCTCTCACCTAAGCTTCAGCTGCCTTTACTTCATAGAGCCCCTAAAAGCAGGGTCCCGACAAGGGACTGAATAGAACCAGGGCAAACCGTAAGCTATGTGCTACCCCTGGCATCAAGATGGGCCTGACCAAAGTGCCATAATGCTTAACTATAAGTTAAGAGCTTGGTCATGGACAAATGCTATCATGATCCAAAAAGTAATAACTAGATTTGGACCCTGCTAGGGTTAGGAATGATTAATCTGGCCTGAGCGCTGTAGTCTGAGTCTGTGGCAAGATGTTCCCAGGAGAGACTGCCCTACAAGTCTCAATGTTATCTCTTACTGTGTCCATACAAAAATAGCTAGTACTGATATGTTGATAGTTATTGGACTGAGGGAAAGAGGAAAACACCTTAGGATGTATTTTGCCCTTGGGCAGTCAGGAAGGGCTTTAGAATGCCTTCTAGGTGGGCCCTCAGGAAGGGCTTTCTTAGGTTGATTTGGCTACCTGACTGGGTGAGTGTCAGCCCAGACTCCTAGGGAGTAGGAGGCAAGGGAGTTGGAGAGAGAGGCAGAGAGGAGAGACTTGAGTGAATGAAGAGAGGATTGGAATAAACTGCAATTAAGACCAACCAGCTTGGGAGTCATCTCTTCCTTTGTCTGCCCTTGGCCAACAGTCATCCCAATCCAGGCCACACACAGCTGCTCAAGAGCACCGAACGCAGGCGGTGAGACAGCTGTCCAGAGAGCCCGTGAAGACACAACCTTCAGCATGCTTAGTATTTTACAAAGGCTCTCTTTTTTAATATTGAAATAAAATTCAACACAATATACTTTTTGTTTCATATATTTACTTTATATATTTCTTGCAGGGCCGTAGAGCAAACCCAGGGTCTCACACATGCAAGGTAAGTGTTCCGGCACCGAGTTTAATTCCAGACCAGTTATACATTTGTACACATTGAGAAATGATCATCACCTTAATGATTTACCACCTTTTCTTAACATCTTTCAAATTTGTAATACCACAGTACTGATCACAGCCTCCAATTAATTTTACATCTTCTTTATATATGTTCTTTCACTGGAAGTTTGTGCCTCTTGTGCTGCTTCATTCATTTGACCCATCTCCCAGATTTATTCCCCATTGGTATCTGCTATTTCAGTTTTATCCTTTATTTTTATAGATGCCACAGAGCATATAGTACTTGTCACTCTTTGAGGTTTTTTTTTACACTGCATACTACTATCAAGGTCAATCTATGTCATAAATGGCAGATTTCATTCTTTTTTATAATTGAGTTTCACACACACACACACACACATACACACACAGTTTCTTTTTGGTGAAGACACCTCTCAAGCTGTGCTCAGATACACTTAGCCAACTGGGAAAGCTAGTTTTTTAGTTCCTGGGCCTTGCAATGCTGGAGACTTGGGAATATGGTCTGGGGTTTGAACTAGAGTCACTATGATTTGTACCCCTGCCCTCTGCATTTTTCCATTTCTCTCCCATGTCCCAGGCTTGTCCATTCATTCTTCAGTGGACACTTAAGGGTCTTCCATATCTTGGCTATTGTGAATGATACTATAATGAGCATAGCAATATCTATAGTATTTTACTCTTCTTTGGGTAAACACCCAGAAGTAGAATTGCTGAATTTTTAATTTATTTTTTGAGGAACGTCCATCCTTTTTCCAGAGAACCAATTTACATTCCCACTTCTGGTGCAGCAAGATTCACATTTCTATCTTCATTGTCACGTTTATTTTTAATGTAGTTCATATTTGCTCAGGGGTTCCAGAATTCAGGGCTCAAAATTCTAAGGCAGATGAGGACAAATAATGAGGAAGGTAAGATCTGTTTTAGAGCAAAGCTTTCCCTGAGAAGACTGCTCTTGGGACACTTAGACTGGGATTACAGGGAGACTTTTATTATTAACTGAGCACAGAAACCAAGTTCTCTGAACTCATGAACTAAAACAGTATGGTAGAATTCTCCAGGTCATTGCTTCTGTTTTCTCTGCACACTGAAGTCAGACCATAGCTGTTCTTTACCACCATTCCTTATTTTCACGAATATCCCCTCATCTAGATTCTCAACTCAGAAATATGGAAGTTATTTTAATTGTTCCCTCCTCCAAGTCTAATAAGAAACAAAGATCTATTGATCCAATTTCTAATAGGATCTTAGAGTTTCCCTCTTTACCATCTTGTTGGCCTTCTGCCTCCAAAAATTTCCCCAATAAGTTTGTTTTCTTCGTTTTATCTTCAATCAACCCTCAACATTAAGGTAGAAAAATATTTCTATGAGGTGTGTGTGTTCTTTAAAATAGGTAGGCTGAAGACCACCTTCAGCATAAAATTCAAACATAACCAAGATCTTCTCACTCTGCTTGGTAATGCAGATTTAATGCACATTTTCTTCCAAATAGTGTAATTTCTTATTTCCATCACCAACAATGTTTTTCTTCATTTTTAGAGTTCACTTCTTAAGATAGTTTTCCAAATCTTTTGGAAAGGTCTTCTTTTCCCCAGCATAGATATGAATAGCTTATTTTGGTTTTATCAACATACTTATCCACAAGTGTCCCAAGACTTACCTGTTGCATAATTATTAAAAGGGTTATCACCTGACTTTGAAAGGCCTTACATTATTTATCGTAAAACTGTGTCAAGCACCAGAATATGTTTAATAAAAATTAGATGACTAAATTACCCACTTGATTTCTCAGTATACAGAGGCAAACATCACTTTGGAGCACTAACTAAAAAATTTTGCTTCTTGCGAATATTTTCTGGAGATCAGTGTGGACGTTCAAGGGCTCTGCGTTTTTGGATCATACCCAGCTGGTTTTCTTGCAGGAGGTCGAAGGATTACATTAAATATTTACCAATCTCAAGATCTTTCATTTTTGGGGTGCCTTTCATTTTTAGGAGCTTGCTTGCAGTTTCTCTGGGCCAGTGCCTAAATCCAGAAAGCGCTTGTTGATGGGTTAATGATGAGAAGACTTAGGACGCAGAGGCAGCAATTTACTGCTAACAACAAAATGACCTTTTCAGGCCAAGCTCCTTGGCCGGGCAATTGCAACCGCAGGAGGCGGGCCGGACTACATTTCCCAGGGTGCCAGCGACTTCGGCGCAGGCGCACTGACCAACCCCGGCGTCCTTTTTTACCCAGAAGCTGGCAGGTCACGTTCAGTGCTGCCCGCGACGCCCCTCGAGCTCGGGGCGCCCCGCTTAGTGCGCTCCGGCCCGTTTGCGTGCCTTTGGGGCAAGAGGCCGGACTCATGGCCCAGCCGCTGAGATTCGACGGGCGGGTGGTACTGGTCACCGGCGCGGGGGGAGGTGAGTGCGCGGAGCGGGGTCGGGGGTGGGGGGACCGCGGGGAGAGACGCGAGCCGGTCCTCGGGGGCCGCCGCAGCGGCAGCACGGAGCACTGTGGGGGGAGAGGGGGGTCGGCTTGGCCCGGGTGGGGTCCCGAAGCGGCAGGTCGCGGCGGCGTCAGGGGCCGCGGGTGCCCCCTGACTTCGCGGGTAGCAGCGAGGCGGCGCCGGACCGCGCGGCGCGGAACTCGGCGAAAGTTTCCCCGTCTCGCGTGCGCGCCCGTGGGGGGCAGCCTCAGACCCCCGGTTCCGCCCCTCCCTCCCGCTAGGGCAGGTTCGAAGTCCTTGAGAGCCCTTCTCTGCAGCGGGCACCCGGCCGAGCCTTCTGGCCCGGGCCCTCGGCTCGGCTCCCAAGTTCAGGAGGTGACAGCCTCGTAAGAACGCCGCTTTGAAAGGACTGCGGTCAAACACGGCCAGGCTGGGCCGGGGCGTCGCGGGGGGTCCACGCCGGGGTGCACCTGGTCCAGCACGCCCCCCCCGCCCGCCCGCCTGCCTAGACTTCGTGCAGAAGACAGCGGCAGCCACCACCTCCAAAGCCCCGCCAGCCGGTCCAGTCCCACTGGGGTTGTGCAATTAGTTGTTGCACCGGCCGCCTCCGCCCCCCTCACCGCCCCCCCTCCCCCCAGCGTGACTTTTAACCTCTGGAGAAGATAAACCGGAAGCACACGTGACTCCACTGCACAGGTCGCAGTGCCGTCACCCTAGAATGGGCCGATGGCTCCTTGTTTGAATTTTGTGTTTAAAGTCACCGATAATGGGCTTTTGTCAATCCAGAGGTGCTTTCACATCGCCATTGACACAAACCGTGTCACCTTGTGGAAAAGGCTTTTATTTTTATTCCAGGGATTTTTGCATTTATTTTACCTTTAGGAAGTGCTTTTAGAATTAGTTACTGACCAAGTAAATTTACATCTGTCTTTACCAATAGTTATTCTAATAGTTATATCCAGTAGTTATTCCAACCTCGTTAACTTCTGGGGAAAGCGTTTTGTTTACACTTTGCTTTGGATAGAGATAACTGATGCGTTCAGTTTTGTTTTACTTTATTTTTTGACGGAGCATTCCCTGGCAGTGCTGAGGGTCACTGGGACTACACTTTGCTGTGTGCTGAGGGGGACTAAACCCTGGGTCCTGTTCCAGTCTGGCATTTGTTCTGTTGCCCTGCCCCCCTCTTTTTCTTTTCTTTTTTTTTTTTTCCTGTACTTTATGAAATAAACTCCAGACCCATATACACCGCTCCCAGTTATATTTGAAACAGCCACGGTTTGGTACCTATTGAATACAGTACACCCAGAAATGTTTTGATCAAGTGAAGATTGCAACCCACTGAAAATTGATCTTGTGCCATATTTCTGAGTTGTGAGTAGGTAGTTAGGAACATAGCTCTCCCTGTTCACAAACAGGTTCATGTTTTAACGAATCCAGTAAACTTTCATCACCTGGATTGCAGTGATTGTTATCGATTTAGCCATAAACTGTATGCTGCTGTGAGGAAGGAACATCAGCTTGTAGTGAAGTTGATGAGGCTGTGGAGGCCATCACTGGGAGGAAGGGCATTGAGATCTAATTTCAGTTGTGTAGACTGTTGAGCCAGAGGAACTCCTGTTCCCATTTGGAGAGTGGTACTTACAGAATGCAGTCAGTGCGGAGCCTGGAGCAGTTCATCAATGCCTCGTGGGCCAGTGCCTGTGTCACTCCAACCTGCTCACATTCTAGAAATGAATAAGAATATTTATGCACTACTGTGGTTTAGCTTGGGATATAAGATGGCTGCATGGGAGACTTGGGATGAAAGGTGAAAAATGGCACAGGCATTTGGGAAACAATTTTGCCATGCTTGGTGGCGTAATGGAAACAGTAAATTGTCTATCAGTTTGTGGTTGCCCATGGAATTGCGGCAGAGCTGGGCAGTGGAAGAAGGGCATTTGGCTGTTTTGAACTTGAGTTGACTAGAGGATTAACAGTGCAAATCTGGAGATAGTGAGAAGTGTGTGTGGGTAGATTTGGAAGGCAGGAGGGATTTGGAAGTGGTTTGAATTTCTTTGATTGGTGAACTATTAACTTGGGGGTTCAGAGGATTCTAAAATCCCCGAGAACCCTCAGTACTATTGGAGGAAAAAGTCTTGAAATTGACTTGCTAAAGAAATGACGGTTACAACCCCAAATGGAGGGTCAAGGGCTCTTGAGTTTCGGTGTGGGAGAGATTTAGTACAGGATTCAAGAGCTGATTAAGACAAAATGGTGTTGGGTTATGTGTGTGACACACCACTATTAATATCATTGTAGACTATAGAATCTCAGCTAAAAAAAAAAAAAAGACAAAATGGAGATGGCTGGGAGATACCCCAAAGGGCTCAAGAGACTGCCTTGCCTGCAGGAGTGCTGGGGTTGGTTCCTGGCACTCCATGCTCTACTGGTATGCCCACCCTCTCCAAAATCATTGTTCAGATGGTTAAGAAAAGTGTAAATGGCTAAAAAAAATTGAATGTTCCTATCTGCACAGACATAGAGACATGAACAATCCCTTACCTATCTTAAGCATGAACAGCTTAAGGAAGGAAGCTGGGATTGGAAACTCACCTTTCACTTCTTACACAAGTGTGTTCGGTGTGTGGCAGATTGGGACATCATTGGAGGGAGTTGTGTAGCCTGGTTTTATGTTGAGACATTCCTGGCTAGATCACTTGATGATCTGCCCAATTTTCATTCGACGATTTTCTACTCTGTTATCAAATCTTTTGCATTCTGGTCATGATATTTTGTTTCCTCTCTTAAGTCCCGTATTTAGAAATGCATCAGCCTGGATCTAATAAAATGTGAGAAGGGTTACTGTGTTGGCTGAATTCTTTTATTTAGAATAGATTTATGTTTAAAAAGAATTTTTTTTTTTGGTAATTTATGCTGGGTTCTTTGGGATAATGGGTGTATTTGTTTGTCCATGCATGCATACTCATTAAACCATGTCAGTTACATATTCTCTAACCCCTTTGCCCCTATTTTGGGTTCTTTTTAGAAAAGCCCCATAAGTTAGGCAATTCAGTTTGGTGTTGATGTTCTTATTAAAAGAAAAAACTTTTTTTTCTTTTTGGGTCACACCTGACGATGCACAGGGGTTACTCCTGGCTCTGCACTCAGGAATTACTCCTGGCGGTGCTCAGGGTAACATATGGGAATTGACCCGGGTCGGCCGCGTGCAAGGCAAACGCCCTACCCTCTGTACTATCTCTCTAGCCCCCTAAAAATAAGAACTTTTAAAGGAAAGTTCTCAATATGTACATGAGAAACCATTATTAACAACATTGTAAATCACTGTAGCACTGCACTGTCCTCCCGTTGGTCATCATCATTTGCTCCAGCGGGCCGAGTAACATTGTGAGACTTGTTACTGTGTTTGGCATATCGAATACATGACGGGTAGCTTGCTAGGCTTTGCTGTGCGGGAGAGATACTCTCAGTAGCTTGCGGGGCTCTCTGAGAGGGGCGGAGGAATAGAACCTGGGCCAACTGGGTCGGCCACGTGCAGGGCAAACGCCTTACCCGCTGTGCTGTCGCTCCAGCCCAATTATAAATCACAGAATTCTCAAAATAAAGAAATTAAAAAATAGACATATTGGGAAATTTGAATGCAATTTAAAGGCAGGGCCTTCTACCTCTGATTGCTAATTACACAATTCTGTTTTCCACAAGTAATCACTAATTGCTAATTTCTTATGTAGTCTTTTTGAGATAGCTTGCAGCTGTAAGTCATGTATATATTCATACACATTCCTAATTTTGCATACTTTTGTTCCTTGTATCTTTGAATCAGAATTAAGTGAATTTTTTTTTTGTTTGTTTGTTTGGTTTGGGTTGTTTGGTGGGTTCGTTGTCAAGGTTCAGCCTAGTGTATAGAAATAAATCCCTAGATAACTGGAGCGAGAAAGAGTTCAATGTGGTGTTTTCTCCTCATATGCTTTGGGGAGTAATATAGACTTGGCCAAGGTTTCTGAGGCTGCCAGGGGACTGCCAGGCCCATGCAGCCTGTGGACACCAGTGGCCTAGATAATGGAAGATTGTTGTCCAGGGACTAGGGGAACTAGTTCATCCAGGAAAGTGCCATCATATCTACTGTTTGTGAATATTTTGAAAGCTGCCAGAAGGCTTTTTTTGTAACTAGAAATCAGCAGCTGGAAATTGTAGGAAAGCTGGAAATTGTAGGAAAGCGGCTTTTGCCTCATCCCCAGATCCCCAGGTTTCATGCAAATACAATCCAGTTCACATGTGGAGTTCTGCCAGCTCTGTGGAGTGCATAAAGTGGTAGGTGGAAATACAGGTTTCAGCATTCTTATCTCCGTAGGAAGGTGAAATGGGGCTTGAGCGTATCAATGAAGATTTTTTACTGTGATTATGCCATTATAATGTGATTGTTAACAAGTCACCTTAAAAAGGGTGATTTCCCCACCCCGCCCAATTATGTTAACATTTCTTCATTTACTCAACTTTCTCTTTAATTTGTTTCTCATTAGGGTTAGGCCGAGCCTATGCCCTGGCTTTTGCAGAAAGAGGTGCATCAGTTGTTGGTAAGTTGACCGAAGTTTCTTTTGAATTAATTGCTTAAAATGAGAGTTCAATCTTCACATGCCAGCTGTTTTGTCTTTATGTCAAAGACTTTGTCACAGTCTGATTCCATAAAAGTTGCTTCTGCAAAGAAAATTCATACTTTGTCCCCCTAGGCTCATTTTGTAACTGCCTTTTCAGTGAGGTTCTCCTAGAAGATGCTCAGACGGCGTGGGGGCACTTCCTGGAAATTCTTCACCAACTCGGCCAGCATCTGAGAGCCCAAGGATGAGCTGTTGCCTGGACACTAACATGCCTGGGTTCACCTGGGCTTCTCTCATGGTGCTCAGGGACGTCTAGGCTGCACCCAGAGATGCTTGAGGGACCAGGTGGTGTCAGGGATAGAACCAAGATTGACTGGGTGCCAGGCATGTGCTTTAATCCCTGTACAATCCCTCTGGCCTCAGTTTTTCTATACCGTATGGAGACAAGGATAACAGAAGAGTAGGCAAACTCCTGGGTTTCTTAAAGGCAATTTCAGCTCAGTAGACTGTTCCCCTAGTGTGAATGTGCAACTAAGCTTTAAGAAAAGGACCCCGAGGCTTTGCCTTATTATAACTTATTTCAGATCGTCGTTGCTATTGGCCCAGTGTGCTTTTATGGCAAGGACAAATGAAAAATCCTTTATTATTAGTGAGATAACATGGTTATAATAATACTTATGCTTTTAGTGTACAAAACTACTGCACCTACACCACAACCAAAGTGCCCCAAACCCTCCTTAAGTCACTTATAGACACATACCCTCCACCATCTGTATGTCATTTCTAATCTTCTCCATTCCTCCTCTGTCTCCAGCCCTGCTGTCTTGTAATTTGATATCTTGAGGTCAGTTGTCAGTTCGTGGTTTGCTGTCTATTCCCTTGTTTTGCTTCATATTGTCCCACCTGTGAGTGCAGTCAGTCAGAGTTTGTCCTTTCCTCTGGCTTATTTCACGTTACATAACCCCCTCTAGTTCATCCAAGTTGTAGCAAAGGCAGGATTTCGTCTTAGAGCTGATAGAGCTCCATGGTGTGTACGTGCCACATTGTCTTCATCTGCTCTGTTATGGGTGTCTGGATTGTCTCTGTCTTGCCTTTTGTTAATAGAGCTGCAGAGAGCGTGGATGTGCATCATCTTTTCCTGTTAGTAGTTTCTTGTTCTTGGGATGGATGTCAAGTAATGGAATTACTGGGGCATATGGGGATTCTTGTTAATTTTTTGAGTAGTCTCCATACTTTCGGTAGAGGGACAAGGACACACTTTAACAGTATGGTATTTTACCAGGATGTGTAGTGTGCAGTTTAGCTTGCCAAATTTTCTGAGTGTAGTTCATGTCATGGCCTAAAGACAACCCTCCCTCCCCCCTCCCCCCTCCCCCCTCCCATCCTTCCATCCTTCCATCCTTCCTGCCATCCTCCCTTGCCTCCCTCCTTTCCTCCTTCCCTCCCTCTCTTATTCTTTCCTTGTAGCTTTTACATTATATGCTTTTTTTGTTTGTTTGTTTTTGTTTTTAGGGCATAACTTCTCCGGGGTCTCCTTTGGTGCAGAGGCAGTGGTTGCTTGCAGCCAGCATGCTGGGGAGACCATGCAGTACTGGTTTGCGACCACACTCAGAACTATGATTCAAAGCCTGTGCTCAGGCCATTGAATTCTCCCTAGTTCTGTTTTTTATACATTGTTCTCACTAATTCTGTAAGTGCAGGGACTTAATTTTATCCTTGCACCTCTCGAAGGACCGAGGTAGAATATTTGCTGTCACATTGCCTTGGTGCAAATAGGCGACTTTGTTCCTTGGCTCTTCTAATGATGAACAGGCTTTTGGTTGGTTGCGTAGGTCCTGGGATTCTCAGCTTGTCTCTGGGAGTGTCTCTGAATACACTTTTGGGTTTTATTTTTTTTAAATGGCTAAGATAGGAGTTTATAACTTTGTTTATAACAGAAAAAATGCAGCAGTATGTGTTTGAATCAGATTTCTCAGATGAGTTCTTGAGTTCTGAGGGAAAGATAAATGGGAACAGGCTATTTATTTTTTTCATTATCTGATGATAGAAGGTGGTATTAAAGCAAGTGGTGAAAAATCCAGAAAAGCAGATTTTTATCTTAGAAAAATATTAGCTGAGCAACCGGATTTAGTTTAGTTTGAGAAAGGAGTCAATTCATGTGAAACTGCCAGAACTTGACTAATATTTACTTACCACCTTTTTGCCATGACTTACCTGGATCTTTCTAGGCCAACAAATGTTCTCCTTCATCTCATCTCCTCTTCTTTCGCTTTTACAGCACAGATACCAGGTTGCTTCACATGCACCAATATTGGTCTCTTGTTCCTTTTACTTTGCTCAGAGGTGTTGATCTGTGCTGCTATGACAGCAAGTTTCTTATTTGTGGAAATGTGAGGTAACACATTAGCCCCAAGGCCAGTAAGATGGAACCTGAAGAAACATCAAAAGACCTGGCTCCAGCCACTCACCTTTGGCACAGTTATGCTGTTTATATATAAATGTCGAAAATCGAAGTGTTCTTGCGAGACCACCCCCCTTTCTTAGACAGTGAGAAAAGTCAAATATTTTATTGTTGACCGGGAGAAGTTGACCTTTGGACCAGTGCACTGATAGTCTGCTCAGAGCAGACTGCCGAGCTTCCTTCTCTGTACTGTGATTACCTCCCGTCAGCTAGAGCCTGTGGTCAGTGAGAGCTTGTGTTTTAAATCTTCCCTTGATCTTGATGGCCAGTTGGTGAATCAAAGAGGACAAAATGAAGTTCCCTGGAAGTTAGGGCAAGTTTCGTATCCTGACTCTGTCACCTGATTCCATGATCCCTGTGAATAGGTGATTCAAACACCTGATTTATTTATAGTCACATGAGTATTTGAATCCCTGATTCATTTAAAATCACAGAAATAGGCCAAGTTCTCTACCTTCCAAAAGCTTTAACCTTGTAAACCGGAACTTGCATGAGGACTTATGATGACTGTGTTGTAAGTTGGGGTATTTTGATGGTTTTTTTGAGAAGACCATCCATAACCTTTATCTTAATGCCTCCAATGTACCTTCCTCAAGCAGAGGTGCCTTCTGTTTTTTGTAGTGGAAATGATTGTGCTCTTCTTAGGGTGAAAAAAACTTGCTTATAGCACTGACAGAGCAGTGGCATTGTGGTTGGTGGTTTCTAGTCTAGATCTTTTTTTTGCTTTTTGAGTCACACCCAGCAATGCATAGGAGTAACTCCTGGCTTTGCACTAAGGATTTACTCCTGGTGGTGCTCGGGGAACCATATGAGATGCTGGGAATTGAACCCAGGTTGGCTGCGTGCAAGGCAAATGTCCTACCTGCTGTGCTATCGCTCTATCCCCTCTAGTCTAGATCTTGCTGTTTCTGAAGGCATCCTTCGCTTTGTAGCCCAGAGCACATCTCCAAACCTCTCGAGACCAGCCCTGAAATTAGAAACAGTTGTTCCTGCCAGTTTTCTAAAAGTTTGTAGGAAATCACATGCAGCATTGTACCTAAAAGTACTTTGAAAATGCCAAATGTACTTTCCACCATTTAAAAGATGATGATTTTATTATCAGAATTTTATCCATATGTTGAAGGCTGGCGGTATCACACAGTGGGAATATGTTTCTTTGTGTGTAGGATTGCAAAATTCTCTTTTTGTCTGGTTCTCCTTGGCCTTTGGCATGTGCATCCAGTGCATAACGCTTGTCATCCCTATCATGTAATTATTTGTAGTGGAATAAGTGAACAGGGTTAGTATTAACAGGTTCTTGAGTATAGATTTGTCTTGAATAAATCTATTCTAATATTCTTTTAAAGTTCCATTTCACATTATTGATCTCAGTAATTTGCAATTCAGGTGCTTAACTGTTTGGTGCACTTTGAATATTTTCCACCTGGGGGTGGTGTTGTATTGGCAGTTCTTTCTTTACTTGAATGCTGCTTTTGTCAGTTTGCTTTTCAGTTTTTCTTTGCCTTAAAAATGGTATTTAAGGGACTTGTTAGGTGCATTTTTAAAAATCTTGAGTTTTTTTCCCCACTGGTTATTTCTTATTTGAATAATTCACAGAAATGTACAATTAGTATGCATTTTCTCTTGAGAATCTTCTTTCTTGCAAGAAATAAATTTTTCTGTTATTTTGTATTAATGTAGCATTTTAAAATTTCACAATAAGACTGGTAGGACTGTGTTGTGAGAAAAAATTTATCTTCATTCACATTTCGAAAAACTCATCTCCTTAATAAAAAAAAGTTAACTTCATTTGATTTAGTTGATAAGTGTACTAGGCTTTGACTCTTTTCTCTTGTACCTCGAAATCCACCATTTGGCAGCTGTTACCCATTTTGAAAAAAACTTTCTTAAGTAGAACAAAAATTTCCCCTTCAAGTGTGGTAATCATTAATCTAGTAGTATTAAGATCTAAACTTTCTTTATGCTCTTAGTTTTTTCTTTTTTCTTTTTGTTTTTGGCCCACACCCAGCTATGCTCAGGGCTTACTCCTGGCTCTGTGCTTAGGAATCCCTGGCAGTGCTCGGGGGACCACATGAGATGCTGGAGATAGAACCAACCGTGGTTGGCCATGTACAAGGCAAGCCCCCTATCCACTGTACTGTTGCTCTGGCCCCTTTATTTGACTTAGCATCCTCAACTTATCTCTAATGAATTAAAGACTAAAGAAATATTCACTCTGAAATTCAAATATTTCTCAGAATAGTAGATTTTATGGTAGTGTGTTTTCAGTTTTTGAGGACGCACTATACTGTTTTCTTAAAGTGATTTTTGTGTGTTTTCTTCCTTCCTCCCTCTCTTTCTTTCTCCCTTCCTTCCTCCCTCCTTCTCTTCCTTCCTTCCATCTTCCCTGCCTCCTTCCCTCTTTCCATCCTCCCTCCAAAAGCGGTTGTCATGTCCAATTCATCACAAAGTTAAAAATTTCATTATATTGCCAGGTGTGTGGCCCCAAAAGAAATAACCTAAATAATTCTTGATATGAATTTTCTTCTGTTATGTTTATTGTTACTGTCTATATTTAGGAACAATTATCTCTGAAATTATTTAAATATGTAATAAACTAAAGCAAACTAATATAAAAAGGGAAAATGTTTAAAATACAAACAAAAGCACGTTTTGAAAGTATACATTTTATGGTAATTTTGTAATGGGGATAGGGTAAGAAGAAATTGGGCAGATGATTGGAGAAATATACCAATAACAGAATTTAATTTCTAATTCATGTTTTTGACGTTCTGGAACTAACTTTTGTTTTTGCTTTGCAGTGAATGACTTAGGAGGGGACTTCAAGGGAGTTGGTAAAGGCTCCTCAGCCGCTGATAAGGTTGTTGAAGAAATCAGAAGGAAAGGTGGAAAAGCAGTGGCCAACTATGGTATGTTATTTGAAAGAATTATACTATTTCTTTTATCTTCCTTTGATGTTGCTGCCTACAATAGTAACTGAACATTCTAGTGTAATTTTGAAATTAGATTTATATGTTAGCCAAAGTTCTTTGTATAATATGTGAGGATTTTTTAACCTTCTGATATGCGTTATTTCATGATCTTAATTTAATCTGTTATTTAATACTTTATTGATGAGCACATGGCATAATCAATTATTATAGATGTGATATGAATATATTTTTATTCTTAAGACTTGTTTAAGGTAGAAAGGGCTTAGAAATTAATATTTAATCATTAAATTATTCTTTTTTAAGATGTCAATATTTTTTTTCTTTTTGGACCACACTGGGCAGTGTTTGGGGCACCTCGTGGTATGATAAAACTCCAGTTTCCTGCATGAAATCATGTACAGCCTGTTAAGTTGATTTTCCAGCCCTAGATACTTTTTTTTCTTATTTTTTTGGTTTTGGTGCTACACCTGTTGGTGCTCAGAAATTACTTGTAGCTACATACTTAGGAATTACTTCTGGTGGGATTTAGGGGACCATGTGGGATGCCAGGGGTCCAACCGGAGTCATCCACATGCAAGGCAAACACCTCACCTGCTATACTGTTGCTGTGCCCCCTATTTTTTTTCCCTTTTTTAATTTTCTTTTGTGGGGGGCCTACACCTGGCAGTGCTCAGAGGTTTGGGATTTATATTCATCTTTTAAATTATTTTCCTTTTCATTTTCTGTGACCCCCACCCCCCCCGGCAATGCTCAAGAGTTACTTGCAGTATGTATGCTCTTAGTCCATTAAACTAGCTCCCTAGTCCCCCCCAATATTTTTAAAGTATTGCAGTTTGCAGTGTGGGTCTGGCTCATTTGGCAGAACATCATCGATTTGTGTGAGGCTTTGTTTTTTAATTTTTTTTTTTTAAAGTTTTTGGGCAATATTCAGGGCTTACTGCTAGCTCTGCATTCAGGAATCACTCCTGGCGCTCTGGGGGTGCTACATAGGTTGCCATGTTTTGCGTATGCAAGGCAAGCACCTTACCCACTGTACTATTGCTCTGGCCCTTGTGTGAGGCTTTAGGTTTAATTCCTGGTACCACACTCCGTGTCCCCGCTTGGCATTGCTGGATGTGCCCAACCCTCCTCAATTAAAAAAAAAAACTACAGCCTAAGAAGTTAATGTCGTTTTTTCTGTACCAGACTTCCATCATCCTTCTGCCCAAATAATTACTGCTATATGTAGCTGACTTCTATCTGTAAAATTTCTTTCTTTGGTTTGTTTCTGGGCCACACTCGGTGTTCAGGACTCCACTCCTGGCTCTTTGCTTAGAGATCAGTCCTGGTGAGGCTTGGGGGACAATATGGGTGCTGGGGATGAAACCCAAGTTGGCGGTGTGCGAGCACCCTATCTGCACTTTTTGACTCGGCTCATAGTAAAATTTTAAAAGTCAGGGTCAGGCATTAAAGTTGCAGGAAAAATCAGAAAACGTAGAATTTACATTAGGGATATTGATTCCAATAGCATTTGTAATGAGACGTCTTGAATACATACACTTCAGAAAACTAATGCATACTGATTTTATGCAAACTAGATTATTATTATGGTCCAGGGATAAAATTAAATTGGCGATGGCTTCACTTTGAAACTTCGGAGTATAGGAAATAGGTTATGATTGGAATGTTTGAGGAAATAATGAAACAGATCAGTATCTTCTTTCTATGTTGAGGATTTTCTCTTTATTTCCCTGCAGTTCAAAAAGCTATTTTTAAAGCATAGCACTGTAGCACTGTCCTCCCGTTGTTCATCGATTTGCTTGAGCGGGCCCAGTAATGTCTCCATTGTGAGACTTGTTACTATGTTTGGCATATCGAATATGTCATGGTTAGCTTGCCAAGCTTTGCCGTGCAGGCAAGATACTCTCGGTAGCTTGCCGGGCTCTCTGAGAGGGCAGTGGAATTGAACCCGGGTCAGCCGGGTCGGCCGTGTGCAAGGCAAATGCCCTACCCGCTGTGCTATCGCTCCAGTGATATTTTGAAATTTTTAAACATAAAAGTTTCAAACTTTGTTTCTCTGCCATGATTTTGATAGACAACTTTTATTAATCTGGATTCATTCAGGAAAACAATAGCCTGTCTCAGTTTTCAAAGTGTGAAGGTTTTTAATGCAGAGCAGTAGGTAACGAAAATGATTACTTACATGAATAAGAGCCATTGGAAGGGCCGGGTGAATGTGTTGGGAAGCTGTTGCAGCAGCAGTTTAGCAAAAATGACTTAGCTGTGCTGCAGATCTTTTTAAATTTTTGTTTCTGGATCACACTTGGTAGTGCTCAGGTGGGACCCGGGAAACCAAGGGAAGTGCCAGGGATCTAACTGGGTCAGCTGCATGCAAGGCAAGCGCCTTAACCCCTGGACTGTCTCAGCCCTGTTGCCAGTCTTTTACTCAAATCTGCTCGCTGCCATTCCCAGAATTCTGTTTTCCCATTCCTGGGTGTTTCTTTTTGTAGAGCCATTTTCCAGTTTCTCCCTTAGGATTGCAGAGAGCATGGACAGAGGCAGTTGTGGTATTGTTGCCCAGTCCTTAGGCATGCAACTCGGGGGATGTTAACCCTTTTGCTGCACTGATATATCCCTGAAAATACTGAAGCTATTGTATTTGGTTAAGCTTTATTTTTTAGACACGAGTATTACAAAAACAGACTTGTTCTCCAAATGTGGTTCTGTAGCATTGAATGTTCTTTTTTCAGATTAGACTCCCATTTTCCCAAATTCTAACTTGCGTCATTGAAGAGATGTGCCTATGACAATTAATTGATTAATTGGTTTACCCATTTTTAAAATAAACCAATAAAACCATAATTATCTGGTAGTCCTCAGGGCCTGTTCCCAGCTCTGTGCTCTGAGGTTACTCCTGGTGGTGCTCAGGGTCCTGCAGTGCTGGGGATTGAACCTAGACCTCCTGTGTATAGAGCCTGTTCTCCATCCTTCGAGCGATCCCTCTGGCCCTCTGAATATTTAAAATAAAATAGAACGAAATAAAATCCAATGGCTTGGTGAGTGTTTGTTTGCTGTGGATTTGGAGCCACACCTGGGGGACTTCCCCTGATGTGTTGTTCCTTACTTGGGAACACTGAGTTGCTGGGCTTCCTTGGGCTTGGGCTTCAACACGCAAAGCAGGAATTCCTGCCCTTTGGCACATGTCCCCAGCCCTCAGTTTGTTTCTTGTACTGGCCACATTTCAGGTGAGCAGGAACCCCAAATGGTGAGTTTAAAGACCTTTAATGTCATCATAGGAAAGTGTACTGGCCTGCACTGTTTATTATAACTTGATTTTGCCAAGAGGTTCTTTCATTTTATTTATTAAAACTTTTTCTTAGGTGCCAGATATTTTTGTTAATAATGGGTCATCTATGGTTTTATTCACTAGGTGTCTTTAATATAAACTAGGTGTTTTTCTTGGGAGTGACTTAAGTTGTGTGCCTTGTGTCTGTCAAGGCCCTGAGCACAGACTTTAGAAAGTGTCTGTGCAGGATATTACCGATGAGAGTCATTGTTGTCCTTGTCCTCAGACTCGGTGGAAGCAGGAGAGAAGCTTGTGAAGACAGCGCTGGACGCTTTTGGGAGAATAGGTAAGATGTCTTTACTCCTTCGGGACATACACAGCAGACTTGTCATAAAGTTTTTTGTTTTATTTTTGTTTATTGAAAGCACTGTCTTTATGGATTATAAAGTTTTTATAGTTCCTTTACTATATACCCTACCTTCTGCTCTACAGGGTGTGAGATGAAGTTTTTCTGTGTAAGTTAAGTTTATTCATTATTTTTTTAAAAAAAACCACTTAAAGGGTATGCAGAAAATGTGTAAGCATTCTCTAAATTTCTTATTTATCATCATTTATTGGCATTCCAAATAGGTACTTTATTTTCAGGAGTAGAAGACTCAGTGGAGTCTTTTGGATAATTGCGAATCATTCAAAAGATTTGATTCAGTATCTTAAATGAACTAATTTGAATGATACACAGTAATTTTTTTAAAAAAAGACAAGCATTTCAAGTATATTGTTTAATTCTTTTAGATAATAAAAGTCCCATACTTCCATACTTTCTTAATAAAAGATTAAATAACTAGAGGAATCAATACTGCAGATAAACCCAACATGTTTACATTCTGAAAACTATTTTTATAGTTTGACTAAAGTGTGGTTGAGCTCGTTAAAGACTTGTTTATATATGGTAGAGATACAGTAATCCAAAAAGTGGGAAATGATTAGTGATAATATCTTCATATGGTGGTTGACCCTTAAACAGTTATTCCTTTTTTTTCATAGTGAGAATAGAATTATTTGGTAGACCTTGCCTATCCTCCCCCCCTTCCTCCTCTTCTCCCCCCCCACCCCCCAATCTGGACCATACCTAGTGGTGATCTGGGGCAGGTCCTGATTTTGTACTCAGTCTCACTCTTGGTGGTGGCACAAGGGAACCATGCAGTGTGGGGGATCAAGCCTGAGCCTCCAGCATGCGAAGCCTGCTCTCAGCCTGGTGTGCCTTTTTTCTCTGGTCCAGGTCCTCCATTATTAACGCTAATCCTATAATGGTATTCTTGCAGGCTTTTTTTTTTTTTAATCTGTGTGTGTGAGGGGATGGAGTAGAGCGGGGGTGTGGCTGGGCTACACTAAGTACTGCTTGGGGACTACTCCCACCCTGGTGGCTAGGGGGAATTACTCCCAGCGGTACTGGGGGACCATTCGTGCCAGGTCTGAATACAGGCCTCATGCCTGCTGAATATTTGGCTAACCTATTGCGCTAGCTCTCCGGCCCTGACTTGGCCTTTTGCCATCAACAATAACAGTAACAATAACGAGCCTCATTCCCCTGACCCTGAAAGAGCCTCCAGTATGCTACTGGGCTACGCTAGCATGCGACAGGGACTAATGGAGACGCTACTGGCACCTGCTCGAGCAAATCGATGATGTGTGGTATGACAAGTGACAAATGTTTTTGGGCCACATGTGGCAATGCTGGGGTTTACTCCTGTCTTTGCACTCAGGAATTACTCCTGGCAGTGTTCAGGGGATGTGCCCATGGCAGCTATGGGCAAGTTAAGTGCCCTATCTGCCATACTATCTCTCTAGCCCTTGATGAGCTTTTTGATTTTGAGTGGCAAGAAGGAAAAAAATCTTTATTTTTTGATTTGGGGCCACACTGGAATGTGCTCAGCGGCTGTATTCCTGGGGTTCATTGCTTGGAGGTTGCTCTTGGTGGTGCCCAGGGCATCATGCAGTAGAAGGGATGAATGCAGGCTTTCTGTGTACAGAGCATGTACTTCCAGTCTCTGGAGCTGTCATCCTGTTTCTGGAAATAGCTTTTAAACTTTGGACTTCTTGCATGGATTTTGAGGTTAGATGAGCAATGACCACTGCAGAATCCCGAGAACCTGAATTGGGCAGCAACTCATCCTATAAATCAGCTGACGTAATGTTAACAGAAAGCAGGGGTGGAAAAGAAGGTAGATACATAAATTTGGGGGCAAAGTGCTGATAGAATGTGATACTTTTGTGAGTTAGATGTCTTTTTTGGTATTAGTATAAAATTTTCTCTTGCTGGTACACTTACCTGTTATATTTACTATTGTGTGTGGGTGGTAAAACCCCCCAAGTTTGAAAGAAATGTAAGTTGTGAACAAATACAAACTGAAATGCTTGCTTTTACGTTTGTGACTTGGATCTTTTTACATTGTAGATATTATTATCAACAATGCTGGGTAAGTATTTTCTTTTTTAATTGTAGTGGAGTAATGTGCATGCAAAAGCTTTTCTCCCCCTTAAATGTTTATTAGTATTTCCTTTTCTGATTGTAGTAATGAGTAATGTGCATGCAAAGTATTCCCCCCCCCACCCCAGTGTTTATTTTCTTCTACCTAATCTAATTGTTTTTTTTTTTTAGAATTCTTAGAGATCGTTCCTTCGGTAGAATAAGTGATGAAGACTGGGGTAAGTAAAAAAAATTTAAAGAATCATGATTTACAAAGGTATTAATAGTTGAATTTTAGGCATATCATATTTTAACACCAATCCTATCAGTGTCAGCTCTTCCCCACCATTTTCTCCATACTCCATCCCATGTCACTGCCACCTTGTCAGGCACAATACAGAGTTTGCTGGTTGCAGTTTTGGTGTCATGTTTTCAGTGTTGTTGATTCTGTGCTTTGGATGTAAAATTCTGCTACTCTCCCATATCCCCAGTATTAAAAAAACCCTGACTTTGTTCTCCATTGCTTCCCTTTCTCCTCTTCTGGGATAAGTAATTTTTTCACTGTAAATCTTATAAGTTATTCCTATCCATTTAGGCTTATAAGTTGATACCTTTGGAAAAAAGTTCTTCTAACGAGTAAGATGAAATGAATATTTTGCCTTTTAAAGTCAAAATTAAAAAATAAGTTTGCTTTCTCTACTTTTGCTTCTGTATATGTGATTTATACTCATTTTACATGTGAGGACAAATAATAGGAGTAGCCTAGTTTTTGTTTAAGAATTGATTAGAGTATGAGACTAATATCCAAATTGAGGGTAAACAGAAGCCAGGAAGACAGGTCAGTAGTTGGCAGCTTGCCATAAGAGTGTGTGTGGGGTAAAGGGCACAGGTAAAGGGATATACTTGATAATCTTTTATTATCTGCGTGCAAACCATAAGGCCCAAAAGGAGAGAGGGAGGGAAGGAGGGAAGGAGGGAGGGAGAGAGAGTGTGGGAGGGAGGGAAGGAGGGAGAAGAAAGGAGAGGGAGGAAGGCAGGGAGGGAGGGAAAGTGCCTGCCATAGTGGGAGTTGGTGGGACAGGCTAGGGACGGGGAGGGAAACTTGGGGACATTGGTGGGAAAAGTACACTGGTGAAGGAATCGGTGTTGTGACATTCAGTGACTGGACTCCAATCATGAACAACTTTATAAATGTTTATATCGCTGTGATTCAATTAAAAAATAAATAAATGGGGAAAAAAACGAATTGAATAAAACTGTTGCAAACCTGTTTGCAGAAGTTACTCAGAACTATTTTATACTTTTCAATTTGTTTCTCTTTTATCTCCTTGAGAGGTTGCTGTCATTTTCTAGCATACCAGCTTTTTAAAAGAAAATAATGTTTAGGGCGTTTAGCAGTTTGTGTGTCTACATTAAGAAAAAGAACCAGGCTGTGGGAGGGAGACGGGCAGTAAAAATAACAGAGACCTGAAAAGTAGATATGAAGAACCCATTTGTAATTTCAAAGCTTTTAAGCAACAGTGACTTCCATTAGGAGTGTCACTTTGGAGAGAGACCACTTAGATAATCAAAAATCACTGTTTAAAAAAAAATCACTGTTTTGGTTTTTCCTGTTTGCTCTTGTTGGCTCTTTCATTGGACACGAGAGTGTAAAACTGTTGTTCTGAGAGTTGTCATTGTGCTAACCGAGGTGACTCACATTGCCTGTAGGGTCTGCTGTTGATCTACTGCAGTTCTCAACTGCAGTTCTCTAGTTCTTCAGGAGACGCAGAGTGTCCACCTTTGACTTAAAAGGAGGGAAAGAGGAACTTTTTTCCCTCTTGGGACAGCTGAGGGGAGCAAAGCAGCTGAGAAGGGAGGCTTGCTGGAAAAGCTTAGCTTGGCACTGAGCTCTGATGAGGCTTCCCTCTGGTTCCGAGCTGAACTCACTACTTCCAACTACTCTTTCCCTTCGACTATTTGTGTTGTGTTGTGTCCAATTATACATGTAAATTTTTGGTTTTGGGCCATACTTGGCAATGCTCAGGAGTTTCTCCTGACTCTGCATTCAGGAATTTCTCCTGACAGTGCTCAGGGTACCATTATGGGATGCTTGGGATTGAACCTGGATTGGTCATGTTCAAGGTAAGCATCCTACTCACTGTACTCTCCAGCCCCCAGTATATGTAGGCATTTCAGATATTTTTGTAAGTGAGTTTTTATCTAAAGCACTAAAGGGGTAGAGTTTTGTATATGGGATTCTTACGTACTAGCAGGGACAGTTGCATTGCCTTTTAGTTGTTGAGGTATGGCAGTTTTGTCATGAATTATGGTGGACACAGACTTGAATGTTGGCAGCATCACGGGAGTAGAGGCTAAGTTAGTTCTTCAGTGAGAGGTGTGGCAACTGATGATTTATACAAAGAAAGGGAACATCTTTGTATGAATAAATCATTGCTTATGGGACTTCTGGTGTATGCCTAACTGTGCATATTTTGACAAAATATTCTTAACAATAATTTCTTATTTCAGATCTAATCCATAGAGTTCATTTGCGGGGCTCCTTCCTGGTGACAAGGGCAGCTTGGGATCACATGAAGAAGCAAAAGTTTGGAAGGTAGTTCCATGCAGCCATGAAGGGGTGGAGTTTTGTGTGTGGACTCTGCTGTACTGGCGGGGACAGTTGCTTTGCCATTGAAAACATCTTCAGATAAGCACAGACCTTTGAAATGTAATTTTGGTGCATAAGCTCTCACTAAACGGGTGTACTTTAATGACAGATTTACTGAGCTTGGCAGCTTTCTATTTCTTTTCCTAGGCAGCTGTCTATTTATTTTCCTCGCCTGCTTTTCACTACTAATGAGTTTCCTGCTGTTTTCTGATCTTTCAGCAGAACACAGAGGGTTTAGCTGTACTTATTCTCAAAGTGTCCATATGGTATGTCCTTAGCTTCAGTGAAAGTATGGCTGTTTCCTGCTGTCTGGTATAGTCAGACATTAATCTCTGTAAACTGTTGTAGAACTGTATACCTCTGGGAACTGGAGACCTGGCTCAAGGGGTAGAACATGTCCCGAGCCTGTGTGAGGCTCTGAGTTCTCTTCTGGGCACTTGAGAGCCCATATCCTAACCCAGCACTACTGCCTGGTGGTCAGCAGCACTGCTGGGTATGGCTCGTATAGAGGAAATAAAAGATGCTCTGAATTGGGCAGAGCTGCTAAGTGGCTCTACTGCCCTAGTGTTTGAGTCCTTCCAGATAATTTAGGGTTCACTCACATCCTTGAAGTCAATCAGTGTGAAATGTGTTCTTATTGGAGATTTCTTGTCTCTCCCGATCCCAGCAGTTTGTAAAAGTAAGTGATTTACTTTATTTAGTTTACTAGAATAGCGTTAAGATTATGAGGTGGTGTTTTAGTGTGAATAAATAAATAAATAAATAAATAAAGGGCATCATTCCCCTGAAAGAGCCTCCAATATGGCAGCGGTGGGAAGGATGTGAAAGGAGAGGCTGCTAAAATCTCAGGGCTGGGACGAATGGAGATGTTATTGGTGCCCGCTTTGCAACTTGAACGGTGGGATGACAGTGGTACAGTTTTAGTGTGAGGCATTTGATGTTGTCTACAAAGGGAGAAGGAAGGGCAAAGTAATGAGGACTGAAGCGTTGCACTGGTTAACCTGATATTCCCTGCAAAAATAAAAAAAGAGAAAACTTCTCTTCATTTTGGTGTTTGGGCCATTCCTGCCGTGCTCAGAGGACCATGTGGTGCTCGGGACTGCACCAGCCCTTCTCCTTTAAAGAGTATGCTCCAGCCTTTTGAGCCATCCTCAAAACCCAGACATTTGATTCACATACTGTCAGTTTACTTTATATTATAAATATTATTGTCAGTAGACAGTTCATATTCGTTTAGTTTGCATTCAGTTTACATTATATACTAGAATTCATTTGGTCTTGACCTGATCTTTTTAGTTAAATATTATGGTTGAAGTTTAAGGAACTAATCTTATGGTTATTTAACCTATTGGCATTATAGATTGCTGCTTTTGACATGTCTCCTACTATTGAAAAAAGGGGGAAGGAGTTGTAGCATTATTGAAGTACAGGAAAGACAATGTAGAGAGATTGATTTTTCTTTTAGGATCATTATGACTTCATCAGCTTCAGGAATCTATGGCAATTTTGGCCAGGCGAATTACAGTGCTGCCAAACTGGGTCTTCTCGGCCTTTCAAATACTCTTGCCTTGGAAGGCAGTAAAAGCAATATTCATTGCAATACTATTGCCCCAACTGCTGGATCACGGATGACCAAGAGTGTTTTGCCTGAAGGTAAGTAGAGTTTTCAGTGCTGTTACACCTTTATGTGGAATCAATTTGTAATTTAATTTTCAGAAATTAAAGATTTACTTCCTCTCAATTTCAAATCCCCATCATGCAAAATTTGTGTTTCTTATGGAAAATTTAAAAAAGCTAAAAGGAAAAAAATCAAAATGACCTATTATTCTGCCACACTGAAATAAACTTTCATTTTATAAGGCAAGTGTCCTACCTGCTATACTCCTTGTGGCCCGTATCTATCATTTAAAAAACTTCTTTGCCTTCTTGTGTCTGTGACCATCCTTTTGACTTTTTTTTTTATTATTATTAGTGATACACCATGAGTTACAGTTGTAGACTTAACAAACTTTAGTGCTTGTGTTTCCTTTATACAATGATTGGGTCACCATTCCCCCCGCCGCTCCCCCCTTCCCGCACCTGTGGCAGGGAATTCCCTTTTGCTCTCTCTCTGTTCTTTTGGGTGTTGTGGTTTGCAATAGAGGTATTAAGTGGCCATCGTGTTTGGTCTGTAGTTACTTTCAGCATGCGTCTCACATCCCGACCGAGTCCTCCAAACACCCTTTACTTGGTGTTCCCTTCTCTATCTGAGCTGCCTTTTCCCCCAGCATAGTAGGCCGGTTTCTAAGCTGTGGAGCAGACTTCCTGGTCCTTATCTCCACTACTCTTGGGTGTTATTGACTTTGTTTTTCATCTTTCTGAATATGCCCTTTGGATGCCTCATAGGGCCTGTCTTTCTTACATTTTCCCATTTTAATTGAGAGATACTTTCTCTTGTCAGTGTTTTATCAATTCTTCAGAAATCTGGTTTCTGCAGTAACAGGTTCTTCAGAGCACCAGGCTCACAATGAGATAAATTGTGTCATGTAATGTAGAAAATAGCAGTGACTGAGTAAAGAATCACAAATTCTAATTTTGATTTCACATAACTTTTTATTTTATACCCTATGAGATTTCACAGGAGTTTTACCTACTCTTTTATTTTTATTTTTTGGCTTTTTGGGTCATACTCAGTGATGCATAGGGGTTACTCCTGGCTCTGCACTTAGGAATTATTCCTGGCGGTGCTTGGAGGACCATATGAGATGCTGGGGATCGAACTTGCGTTGGTCGCGCGCATGGCAAACGCCATACCCACTGACAGTCGCTCCAGCCCGAATTTTACCTACTCTTTGGAGCCTTATAAAGTCGAATTTAATAAAATGCTCTTTAGCCTAGAACTTTGGGAGAGTGTTGAAAGAACTGTAAAGCAACAGTAACACTGTCATTTTGTTGTTCATTGATTTACTTGAGCAGGAGTCAGTAACGTCTCCATTCGTCCCAGCCCTGAGATTTTAGCATTCTCTCCTTACTCATCTTTCCCAATGACTGCTGTATGGGAGGCTCTGTCAGGGTCAGGGGAATGAAACCTGTTATTGTTACCGTTAATGGCATATCTAATATGCTGTAGGTAGCTTGCCAGGCTCTGCTGTGCAAAGCAACAGTGTATATTCTTAGATTATGTGAGAACATAGTGTAAGATGAAAGGCACACTTACTTGTTCTTTCTGATACAGTGTTTTCTTTTTTCATATATTACTATAGATACCCAGTTGGATTTTATAGATGTGTTTTTTGTTGCATTCATTGTAGAGTTAGCATAATTATTGAAATATATATGTGTGTGTATATATATATGTGTGTGTGTGTGTGTGTGTGTGTATCTTCTTTACTATTCCTTTTTGTCCTGGATGCATAAGGGTGGGAAATAGAAGGAATTGGAAATGGGTGGAATAATTGTTAGGAATTTATCATACAGGGGCGGAGCGAGAGTACAGTAGGGAGGGCATTTACCTTCACATGGCTGACCCAGGTTCGATCCCTGGCATCTCATAAGGTCCACTGAGCACTGCATGATTCCTGAGTGCAGAGCCAGGAATAACCCCTGAGCATCATTGGGTGTGACCTAGAAAGCCAAAAAGAAAAAAAAAAAGATAATTTATCATACAGTATGAAGTGATTGGAATTAGTTTTCTCATGCATGTAGCAGAGAGCAGTATGGCATTCGACTTTTGTGTACACTTGAGAACTTTTGGGGGCTATAAAGTGAAAAGTTTTAAGAGCTGCTTTTGTTTTTTTGGCCCTTCCCCAAGGCTACCCAACCCCTGTCAGTGATACTTTGCCAACAGGGCCAGACAATTCAGCTCTGCCTCAGGGCTGCAGTGCTGCGTGGGTCTAGCACTGCTGGGGGTGCTGGAGACTGGGCTTGGGTCCTTGTGCACCAGAGTCATGTTCCTCATCTCTGTCCCTGGCCCCTTAGAGCTGCTCTTTAATTGCCATGACTGCAAATTTCATCTTTCATTGCTCAGCTATATTAATATATTTTGTAATTTCACAATTAAAATGCATTAACTTGATCTATTCAAGATTGTTACATTTAGAGATTACTCATTTGAGCTTTGGAACACTGGTGGAGGAAGCAAGGAGAACAGTTTTGATTATTCCCCTTTTTCTCTTTTTTTGGGAGTTGGAGGATGAATGTAGGGCCTCACATATGAAAGGCCAAGGGCTCTCCCACTGGGCTGTGTCCCTGGCGTGATAGCAGTCCTAATCATTCTTTAAGTGAGAAGATATAGGTCCGTGGCTTGAGTCGCTGTGGTGAGAGTCCTGAGTCGCCTGCATTGCTGTACAGTGCAGGCCTTTGTTCTCATTGTGTAATTCCTTTCTGCTTTAAGCTACTTGGAGCAAGTGTGTGATGGGAAGGTGTGCCTTTCACTTTTGACTCATTAGAACCATTTCTAGGGCCATTCCACACCAACAGGTGACTGGCAATTGTCAAAGGTGTTTTGTAGTTTTTGTAACTCCTGCTTAAGTAGCTGGGAGTGCAGCAGCACTTTGTGAGTGGTGCCTAAGATATTTCTGGCTCAAATATGTCTTTTTCTTGGTAGTATGTTTTCCACCGTGGAAATGGTGATCTGATTGCTTCAAGTTCAGAAGCTTAACAAAGCTTGCAGATCACCTCCCTGGGATCCTGGGATAACAAAGCTTCTCCAGAAGCCTTAAATGCTTGACTTGCTAGGTTTTTATTTACTTATTTTATTTATTGATTTTTATTATATTCTTTAAAAGTTTCTGAATTGTGGTGTGAGAAATTTTCAGAAGGTAAAATGATTAATTGAATATGTGTCTACTTTTGTTTACGAACTTAGGATTTTATATTGATTTCAGATCTTTTGGATGCTCTGAAGCCTGAGTACGTGGCACCTCTGGTCCTTTGGCTGTGCCATGAGAAGTGTGACGAAAATGGCTCCTTGTTTGAGGTATTCTTCCCCTAATATCTCCCTGGACAGTACTCACAAAATTCAGTATAAAAATGATTCAAAAACAAGTATTTGTCAGTTGATCACTTTTGCTCAAATCTGTATTTGTTGATATCACTTATTTGAAGCGATTGATTAGCATTATTCATTTGAGCGAAGAAAACTATTGTCTACATATAAAAATAGTCCCTGCATATCTTCTTCGAGCCTAATAGCCACCATCAAATGTGAACAGTGGAAAAGCAGAGGTGAGAAGAAATCTTTACAGGTCTCATTTACGGAAGATTAACAGGAGCAACATGAAGCAGACTAGAGCTCAGAAACTCACCTCCTTTCCTTCTCTCATGAAGGAATCTTAATAGCGTCATCTTTCACAATTATATTATGAAATCTATGAACAAATAGCAACTCGTGCTCTTGTAAAAAGTTTCTGTTTTACAAGAAATGTTTGTAAAACATTTCAAATATACAAGTATATGGAGAAAAAGAAAAATTACTCACATTGCCACTCTCCACAAATGACTATTTTAAATATTTTTAAGTTGTCCTTCCCAGTCTTTCACTGGATTAACATTTCCCATGAATGAATTGTTTTAGATACACATTTTAGACACAGCCTAAACTTCCACCTAGACAGTTATGTATGTTGTGTTCTTGTATAATATATGAACATTATAAAGTGAGGAATATTTGGGGGCTAGAGCAATAGCACAGCGGGTAGGATGTTTGCCTTGCATGCGACCGACCTGGGTTCGATTCCCAGCATCCCATATGGTCTCCTGAGCACCACCAGGGATAATTCCTGAGTACAGAGCCAGGAGTAATCCCTGTGCATCACCAGGTGTGACCCAAAAAGCAAAAAAAAAAAAAAAAAAAAAAAAAAAGGAACATTTAGTTTTGCCTAATTGCTAAGAGATGAGGTCTGTGTAACATCCAGATTTAAACTCTGAGACTAAATTGCCACTTGCTGAAGTTCTGATAGATTCTTTGTGTGTTTGGTGTCAGTTATTTGACTCAGTGAGAATGTTTATACTACCTGAAAGGAACTTACAGCTTGTTTATTCACTCTTGAAATAGGATAAAAGTTCATACAGAATTTTCTTTACATCAGACATTTTTCCCTGAGATTTTCTTAGAATGGCCTCTAAGGTACCAAAGTATGACTGTATCAGTGTCATCCCTCTGTTCATCGATTTTCTTGAGAAGGCACCACTGACATCTCCATTCGTCCTAGCCCTGAGATTTTAGCAAGTGCCACATTGGAGGCTCTTTCAGGGTCAGGAGAATGAGACCCATCATTGTTACTGGGTTTTGGCATATCGAATAGGCAATGGGGAGCTTGCCAGAATCTGCCGTGTGGGCAGGATACTCTCAGTAGCCTGCCGGGTTCTCTGAGAGCGAGAACTAGACAATAAGAGGTTAAAAAAAAAAAGAAAAGAAAAAAAAACCCAGAAAGCAGTCTCTTTGTGTGTTGCTATTGATACATTTGCAGATTTATCTCCCTATTAATGTGTTTTGTATGGGGCTGGGAAGGGAGTGCCCAGGGCTGGGCACATGGATGAAGCCTGTGCTTGATCTCTGTCCTGCAGGACTGCATGGTCCCCTGCATTGCTGCTGAGTGTGGCCCTACTGACCACTGTCCCCTAGCCTCACCCCTGCCATCCCGGCATCTCGGCCTGGACAGGACCCCATCACCAGGCCCAACTACCTCACTCACCACCAGACGTCAGGATGCTAAGGATTGCTCGGAGTGGCCCCCGGCACCCCAGAACCCAGCTGGGAAGGCCTGCCAGGCCCTCCTCACCCAGAGTCTCCTTGCAGTGACTCTACTGAAAACATTAATAAAGTCCTTTATTTACAGGAAAGTAAAGAAAAGGGTTCTAGGTGGTTCATTAAGTCATACCTGATTTTATTTTTGTAGGATTTTCACGCTGTTCACTAAGTCTTTTCAGAGGGAAGTGTAGTTTGAATCTGTGATCTGCTGACCTTATTGTCCTTGTCTTCCATAAGAGGACACTCTGATGTTGAGAAATCAAATCCTATCACCATGGCCACAGTGCATTAATAGAACAGCTGTCTGCCTTGGCGGCTGACATCCAGGTTTTATTTCCTGTCTGTCTCTGCATGCTGCCGCTTTATGTGTCAATATAACAGGGATGCTGCAGTCATGGGACTGCTCCTCTTAAGTAGGTCTATGTCACATTCATCTCTTGTCATCTAGTATTGTAATATCTAAGACACTTGCCTTGTTTTTTTTAACCTTTAACTATTTTGTTTTAGTTACCATGCCTTACAATACTGTTAATGAGAGGGTTTCATCTATACAACATTCCAACACCATACCCTTCACCAGAATGTTTGCTCCCTCTGCCATTGTCTCAGGGTCTCCCTCCAGACCTCCCCTGCCACTTGCATCTCTCACCATGGTAGCTCAGTTTTGTGGACTAGTTCTCAGGTTCTTTTGCCTTTGGCCCTTTGTTGGTCCCTTGAAAAAGATGAGCCTGTTCATTTTGCCATTATGTGGAACTGTGCTGAGTAAAGTCAGCTGGGATTTTTGGCAGTTTGACCTCTCTGTAGAGCTTGGTTGTGAGGCAGTGAAGTTGGTCCTTCGGTGTGGCGGCAGCTGTGGAGTGTGAGTTCTGGGGCTTTTGGCAGGGTGGAGATTCGGCCTCTCTCCGAGGGTGCCCCTGTTTTTCCAGCCAGAAAACCCGTGTACTTGTGAATTTTTGCTGCTAGTTGATATCTTTTGAGATTTCATCTCTAGTCTGTAAGACTGGCTTGATGGGTGAGCTTATATGGTAGGTGCGGGTTTGTAGAATATGGATCTGGCTGCTGGGGCTTCTGGAAATTCGGGTGGGGGGTGGTGGTAGGAGGCTGCCCATCCCTACTCTGAGAAGACCCTAGAGTTCTCAGCCTGAAGACTGGCATACCTGGGAATTTCAGTTACCTTGTAAAGAATTCTGTGAGTTGATTGCACATAAGTTGGAGTAACTACCTACCCTCTTCCCCCCCCCCCCCCCTTTTTTTTGCAGGTTGGAGCAGGCTGGATTGGAAAATGTAAGTGTTTTTCTTATGCCATATGGCTATTTTCATCTCTTTAAACCTAAGTTTCCAATTAAGCGCTGTGGGTGGGTCTTGTGAGAACCTTTACATAATCAGTCAGACATTGCTAAACTGGCAGATACACTAAAACTTCCAAGTTGCTGTGGTGCCCAGTGGCACATCAAAAGCTCTTCAGTTTTTTCTTCCTGTTCTTATCCAGGACTTGCCCTGTCCTAGTCAGAACTGACTGCTCCTTTAGATAGCACAGACCCTCCTTATATGGATGTTTGTCCTCCCACGAGTCTAGCCTCTTTCATACTCGGTCCTCTGTCTTAGACGAGAGGTGAGAGGGAAGGCTGTTTCCATGCAGATAGGAAGGATCCTCTCCCGGAGGCCATGATGGCCGTGTGCTCCTAATCTCTGGCTGGACTCTCATTTCCCTGACATGTTAGACATCAGGAAGATAGTGTGGAACTCCCTGGGACAGAAACTGTAATAACCTGTGATCATGGTTTCCCTTGAGCCCAGGAGTAAACTTGTTTGGCTTCAATCCCTTTTTGTGCCACTTCTTATTTCTTGTGGGTTCCAAATCAGAAAATTGTCTTGCACATTTTCAAATACTTGTGACAGTTCTACTGTTCTGATTCATGTTTTCTGTTGGTGGCTGCCAGTTACAGGTTGCCATCCATGGAAGGAAGAACTGTAGCCACTGTATACATTTTCATCATGAATTTTCATTCCATTATTACAAAATATATTGCTCATTTTTGAGGCTGCAATGGAGAGTTTATCTGATATGTCATCAGTTGGCGAGCTCTCAACGCAGACGTGTCTGTTCTCCCAATAGCCATTGGACTTTGACCTTTATGTTTAATAAGGTTACCAGCGTCAGAAAGAAAACTATTCTTTTCATGGTGCTTATCCGACAATAATGATTTTTGTGAATTTGGTCACTCTAGTAGTGACTTCCTGTGGGAAAAGAAGCACAGAGGGAGAAGAAGGGAGACTCATGTAGGACTCTTTCATATACTAATTTTGGATTGTTTGGAGTCTTTTGCCTGTTTCTGCACCACAGATCCTTGGTTAGCTGCCCAACAAAGTTTGGTCTTGAAGTTTATTACCTGAGTGATCCATGGGCATGCAGTCTCTGAGCGATCTGTATTCGGAAATGTTTCTGATCCAGCATTCCATTCTACCTCTATGTGTGGCAGGCTCAGAGAGGAAGATTATTTCTCTTAGCATCAGATAATAAGGGGAAGAAATGTTGACTTCCTTTTGGATTTACTGTTTTAGGAAAATTGCATATATTAAAGCTGGTAGCATAACCCTTCAGAGGTTTAGAATCTTTTTCGCCCAGCCCTGAAATTCTCTTCTGAAAGTTAAGAAACAGTCCCAAGGGCATTTATGGATTTTCCTTTCTCTTTCATAAACTCAGTCTCTTACTTTTGTCTCTATAACTAGTACGCTGGGAGCGGACCCTTGGCGCTGTTGTCAGACAGAAGAACCAGCCAATGACACCAGAGACAGTGAAGGCTCAGTGGACAAAGATCTGTGACTTTCGCAATGCCAGCAAGCCTAGCAAAATTCAAGGTAACAAGCCCAGTCAGCGCAGCCGCGCATGCTCTTCTCTAGGAGAGTGCCTTCTCTGCTCTAGGAGGTGTCAGAACCCTTCCCATTCCAAATGGGTGTGTCATTCCCACGGGCAGTCTTCCAGGTGTTTACACGACCCCCTTGTGTGGCAGGACTGCAGCGAGTGTTCACCCCCCGTGCAGAGTGCAGAAACTCAGCATCCAATGGCTCTTTCCACAGGTGTGGGCTCAGCCTATTCAATTCAGCGCCTTTCTGTCTAGTGAATAGATGGGCTTAGTTTCAGCATTTTGGGTTTAATGCTTTCTTTTTTTTCCACACCACTTTTTAAAATTTCTCTCATATTTTGTTCTTCTTTTCTACTTTTATCTCTGCCTCTGCTGATCTTAGGTCTTCTTTAAAAAAAAAAAAAACCCTCAGCCCTAGATGTTCATTATACACCCCCACCACCAACCTCCCCAGGCATTCTGGACTACATTGATCTCTCTCTTTGCTCAGCTCTTAATGCTCTAATCCTAAACTACCTTCCAGGGCTTTTGTTTCTTAAGGACGTGGTCTCTGAATTTCTCCCCTTACTTTCTCTTGCTGGCTTTAAACTGTGTATCTCTCTTTTGTATTTGTTGCTAGTACAGTGCAGAACTCCTGGAAAGTGTTTAGTAAATTCTTTCAGTTTATTACCTTGAGCTGTTGAATCATCTATGATACACAACAGAGATAGTCAAGTAAAAGTTACTGTGTAAACTCACACAAAGGGAGCACGCACTCAGCAGCGGTGGCTCTATCTCTTCTGCCGCCCATGTTCGGTAGTCTCACCCTTCTCCCACCCCCGGGAGGTCGATGGCGCTTTAGCAGTGTGAGACTGTTATGAGGGAAAGTAGTGAATGGAATTATGCGATTATAATGGAAAGAATACTTCTTACATTTAAAATACTGCTATAAAAAAATTCTGCGTTTCTGTATAATTGTGATTTTCCAGAATACTTTTCCAGTATTCTTGTTTTACAAAAGATGTTAGTATACTTAAGTGCTCAAAAAATGAAATAACTGGTCCAAACATTCTCATTCTTTGAGCTCTGAGCAGATTAGGGGTCTGTCTCTGCGTGCAGACCTTTCTCTTCCCCTGGCCGTGTCTTGCTCAACATCTGGCTGGGGAAGGCTCACGAAGGGGTAGCGGGCAGTGAGAGCCTGGGAGTTGAGGCTGTCCCAGCCCATCTCCCCCTATGTGGTTTGAGGATGGAGGCCTGCAGCTCTAAGTATGTTAGGAGACCCCTGAGCCCTTAGATTTAGGGCATATGTTGCTGTGCCAGTAATCTTTTTACTTAAACAAAAGTTTAGGCCTAGAACTATAGTGTCTAAGTCCTATCTGGAGTCACTGGTTATAATAGTTTCCTCCAGAGGAATTTTTAGTACTGTCTTTGGAGCTGTTCCTGTGTCTAAACCATTGTTAATCCCAGAGGAGGTGGGGAGTAGTGGGAGAGAAGGGCAATTTGTTGTTGCCCCCCACCAACAGAAATTGCATGTTTGGGGACTAGGGTCCCCCTGTCAGAGTGGTGAAATCTCTGCAAGAACAGCGAGGCTCAGAGCCCCTGTAGTGTTGGAACCCTGGCGGATTCAGTGATGCCTGGCTCTCTAGTCTCCTTCAGCCTTTCACAGTTTTTTCCCTTGATGGCCAGAGAGCGTCCATCCCGTTACAGAGTGCCTGTGAAGGTTGCAGCTGGCTTGCAGAATGGTGTCATAGCAGTCATTTTGTATTCTGTTGTCACTTTCCTTAGTTGCAGCTTTAACAAAACCATTATTGTTGTTGCTGTTTTCTTTATTATTGTTATTTTTTTATTGTGTTTTAGAGTCAATGAGTGGTATGATTGCCACTCTCAGTGAAATCGATGCTGATGGGGGAGTGTCTGCCAATAAAACCAGCCAAGCAGCTGTTGACACATCTGGATATGTAAGTGTGGAAATTAGCCTAAAGCTGGAGATTTTCTCTTTTTTTGTCTCTCAGGCCAAAAAAAAAAATTCTTTTTCAAGCTATTGTTAAATAGAAAAAACCAATTACCACAAAACTTTTAATAACTATGCACTAAGTATATGTAGAATTGGACTGAACATCAGACAGAAGTGTTAAATGTTGCTCTCTCCCTTTGTATTCTTCATGCTGCTGGACAGATGGCGGCCCCTTTATTTGAGCATCATTGACAACCCTGTGTTGTTCTCTACATTTCTGACTTTTTCTAGAGTCTTATTAAAATTGTTTTGTTGGTTTGTTTTGGACCACACTGAGCAGTGCTCAGGACTTACTCCTGGTGGTACTTGGGCCTCTTTGTAATACTAGGGATTGAGCGTGTGTTGTCTGCATGTAAGGAAAGCACCTTGCCCACTGTACTATCACTCCGGCCCCTTCTGACTTTGTAGGGAAAATGTTGTTAGTACCTCTTCTGAATCAAGTCTGTTAAAGGAAATCATTATAGATTGTGTTTTTAAAATATTTCACCATGGATGCAAATAAAAATCTTCCTGTCAAATCAGAAATTCTGATAAAATTGATTATGGCTCATGTGAAGTTTGCTGATTTACAATCACTTACATTTACCCTTAAAAAATTGTAGTATTCAGATGGTAAGAAAGAATGTACTTGACATGTTCGATTTAGGCGTTATCAATCAGGGTGGCTCATGATAAAATTATGTAATTTTGGAGAGACAGCTCAGAGAACCAAGTGAATCCTTTGTGTACAGGAGGCAGAGCCCAGGGTGTAATCTCCAGCACTACTTGGTGGTTTGATCCCTGAGTACTGTCAGGAACAGCCTTTGAGCCACACCAGGTTTGGCTTAATGCCACTCCCCCAAGAAAACCATATTAACACAAGAATATAGTTGGTTTGTGAATGTGATTTTTAACTTCAGGGATTGATAAACTTTTTTTTTGATAATGGCTAAATGGTGAATTTTTTTGGTTCCCTCGGTCAGTGTCATTTTTGTTACATATTTTCTTTTCCCCATGCTTCTTTTTTATTTTGGCTTCCAAGCAGTGCTCAGGAGCCACTTTTGGTGATGTGTGATGATTTGCAATGCTATTAGGATTCTGCAAGTCTGGGAGCCACTGTGGCTGCATCCATTTGGACTCAGAGGACTCCAGGGCTACAGGAGGAGCATAGGAGGACTCCTGGTGGTGTTGGGGTCAAATACCAGGCTTCATGCATATAAAGTATGCACTCTAGTCCTCAGTGCTAAGTGCTCAGCCCTTCTTTCTGATTGGTTTAGTTTTTACCATTCTTTAAAATTGTAAAAACCATCTGAGCTCTCAGTCATTGTTTGCCAACTCTGGCTTTAGAATAAAAAATGATTGAAAATACTCTTATCATTCTTTCACACTTTTAATTTTTCACTTCACTTATTAGTAAGTCATATCATCCACAAATAGAAAAAGATAATCTTCAGTTAAAGGAGATCCCTTGGAAGGAACTTCAGATAGAAACATAATTTTTTTTTTTATTAGTGAAACACCATGAGGTACAGTTGTAGATTTACAATTTTTTGTGCTTGGGTTTCGATTATACAATGATCAGATACCCATCCCTCCACCAGTGTCCATTTTCCACCACCATGGATAATATCCCCCCCATCCCCCCATCTCCCCATCCCCCCCTGCCTCTGTGGCAGGGCAATCCCCTGTGTTCTCTCTCTCTCCTTTTGGGTGTTGTGGTCTGCAAAAGAGGCATTGAGTGGCAAACATGTTCAGTCCATAGTCTACTTTCGACATGCATCTCCCCTCCTGGGAGGATCCTCCAAACACCCTTTATTTGGTGCTCCCTTCTCTATCTGAGCTGCCCTTTCCTCTAGAATGCCCAGCTGGCCACTAAGCTATGGAGTAATCCTCCTGATGCTGATCTCAGCTATTCTTGGATATTAATCTCATATTTTATTACTTTATATCCCCCAGATGAATGCAATCTTTCCATGTCAATCCCTCTCTTTCTGACTCATTTCGCTTAGCATGATACTTTCCATGTTGTACCACTTGTATGTATATTTCATGACTTCATTTTTTCTAACAGCTACATAGTACTCCATTGTGTAGATGTACCAAAGAGAAACATAATTTTTACTAAAACCTTTATGAGGCACTTTATGAGAAAAAAATCATCCAACCCTATCAAAAAAATGGGGAAGAGAAGTGGGGGAGGACGAGGGGGAGGGGAGGGGAGGAGAGAGAGCATGTGCCATAGAGACAGACTGGGTAGGGGTTGGGTGGTGGGAGGGAAACTGGGGACATTGGTGGTGGAAATGTACACTGGTGGAGGGATGAGTGTTGGACCATTGTATGACAGAAACGCAATCATGAACAGCCTTGTAACTCTGTCTCACGGTGATTTAGTTAAATTTTTTTTTTTTTTTTTTTTTACAAAAAGAGAAAACTTTTCCTTTATGAGGCCAGTCACATTTTGGGCATTCAGTAGTGTTTCACTCAGTAAAGTTTTTACATTAGATTTTATAGAGCAGTTCACTTTCTATTTATCACAAGTTAATGTTTTTTGTTTATTGTGTCATACCTGGCTGTGCTCAGGGAATACTCTTGGCTCTTTGCTCTTGCTAGTATGTGGTGGCAGGGATCAAAACTGGGTCTTCAGGTGCAAGGCAAGCATCTTACCCACTGTACTATCTTTCCAACCCTGTTTTTTTTTTTATTTTGTATTTATAAGAGACTGAATTCATAGGATTCTAAACCATCAGACAGAAAAGTTGAAAATGAAACATAGTATTTCTTAGCAAGAAGCAAGCAATAGAATACTTGCTCTGTAAACATAGTCCTTTTATACATATAATTGGTTTCTATTGAAAAATAAATATAGCAAGACAGTTATTATACTCCATCAAGTTCATTAAAGTGACAGTTACACCTTTTCCAAAGTAATAATCGGGTATATAAACTGCTAATAGTTTTAAAAAGTCAGAATTTTAAAGATTTAACAAAAATGTCAATTAAAAAATATTATTTTCTACCATTGTCCCCTAGACTGGAGCAATCGGCTATAAATTTCCTCCATTTTATTCTTCTTATTCGGAATTGGAAGCCATCATGTATGCCCTTGGAGTGGGCGCATCGGTCAAGGAGCCCAAGGATTTGAAATTTATTTATGAAGGAAGTTCTGATTTCTCGCCTTTGCCTACGTTTGGAGTTATCATAGCTCAGAAGTCTCTGATGAGTGGAGGATTAGCTGAGATTCCAGGGCTTTCAGTCAACCTTGCAAAGGTATGCACTGTGTAAGACTTTATTTTACATTTCTTTTGTTTCCTGAAAGATGATTGGTAAATGTCACATCTGTGTATGAGTACAGTAGATCTTGATTAATTCAGGATTGAAAGCTTAGTGTAGCACTTGATTTTGTGAAGAAAAACAGAAGAGAATGGAGTGGAAAGGTAAGCAAAAAGGAGGAACCATTGATTATGTACAGTTTTACAGTGCTGGTGTAATGTGATGAATTCTCTCCCTGGTGTTTATTTTCTGTTTGACCAAGGGTGAATAACTTCTCTAAGCTTCAGTGTCATCATCTGTTAAATGGAGAGAATAGTCCTTACTTTGTGAAACTGGTAAAGGAACAGGCTCAGTTATTATCTAGGGAGAAAGTATTTGAGGACAGTCAAATACATGGTAAAAGCCTTTGAGGCACATACCTAATCATTCTCCATCCCCCACACTCGGTGTCAAGGAGCCCAGTAAGTCATAGAGGGAGCATGGGAATAGTGGCAGGAGAAGAGGACCTTTTTCTCTCTGAGCAGGGATTCAGCATGTTCCTGATTTACAGGGGAGGCAGTTGAAGCACTGTGAGCTGAGCTGTGGTAGGGCTGGTTTTGTTCCCTGACAGGCTCCTCTTGTACTGTATGGAGACTTGATTGCATGTCAAACCTGGAGGCAGGGAGAGAGCCCAGTGACAGCTGGTGATTCCTAGAGCTCAGGGCCCCTTTCTGTGACTCTTGAGTATTCGGAGACCCCCCCTGATTTGAGGTTCGATGGGTTCATTGGTGTGCGGAACCCATTAGAACTTTCCAAACTACCAGAGTGCTTGATGGATGGAGGAAGGGAGAGAATAATAATATGCTTGGCAGTTTGAGGTTTCAGTCACTACCCTGTGGCGTTGGCTGCATTTCATTCTTCCGTTTGGGTAATGTAAATGCAGTATGCCCAGACCAGTGCTCCCAAAATGTCCCGCAGAGCTGGGAGGTGTTAGAAATCATCAGCAATATTCAGAGTGGGTATGGTGAGCATTAAGGAGTCTGTGCCCCATTTTCCCAGCCTCAGATGCAGCGAGGTTTCATTTGTGTGCCCAATGTGGTGTTGGGGCTCAGTCTACCCACTATCTTTATTTCCACAGTCCTGTGGGCCCATTGCCATCTGGAGTCTGGGGAAGACTTGGAATTAATCTGTTCTCAAAACAAAGGCATGTCGCAGTTTGGCTGAAGGGTCAGGTTTCATTTTCCCTGCACTTTTGTTTTTAGACATTTATCTGTGTATTCTTGCTTTGAGGTTGGAGCAGTATTGAGGGCAATATACAGTGTACCATCTCTCTGTAGATCACTGTCACTGTCACTGTTCTCCCATTGTTCATCGATTTGCTCGAGCGGACCCAGTAATGTCTCCATTGGAGACTTTTGTTGTTACTGTGTTTAGCATATCGAATACGTCAAGGGTAGCTTGCCAGGCTTTGCCATGTGAGCGAAATACTCTCGGTAGCTTGCCGGGCTCTTCGAGAGGGGCGGAAGAATTGAACTCGGGTCGGCCATGTTGGCTGCATACAAGGCAAACGCCCTACCGCTGTGCTATTGCTCAAGCTCTCTGTAGATAGTATCAGGTATTGTGTGAAGGATATGTTGACATGGATAGTGTTTTTACTGTCAACAGGGTTCAAGGTTTACCTTGATGTTTTAGTTGAGTCATTAGTGTTCGGTTTGTGTGACATGAAGTAACTTGACTAGCAATGGCCCGTTTATTCATTTTTATCCATCCGCTACATATTGGGTACCTGCAGTTTTCCAGGAACAGTAGTAAGCATTGGAAATTCTCTTTTGCCATATAGTCCATGATTATCAGTGAAGGATTACTGAATGCCTAGAAAGACACACAGAGACTAGCTCTCCTCTGCTGAAGGAGAGCTGACTGATAGGCTGAGGGGTGGGTGGTTGCAGATTTCTGTATTACAAAGAAGTAGAAGCAGAATGGATACATAATTTGGGGACCATAATATGAGCAAATGAGTAGTGAAATGCAGTGAAATACCCACTACAAAGGAAGTCTGGAAGAAGGAAAGCGGGCAAAGGAATCTTGCTAGTAAAGTTCTGCTTACCCTAACAGGTTCTTCATGGGGAGCAATATCTGGAGTTACATAAGCCACTTCCCAGATCAGGTGAGTTTTTGAAACACTAATTCTGTAACAGTACTATTATTCCCCCCTCCCCCCCCCCCCCGTTCGTCATGTTAAATGTACTTGGAGTGACCTCCATAGAGCCCCTCAGTGTTACTTATGTGCAGGTCAGTTTTTAGACTAGATAGAAGCTAAGTGATTTTTGTGACTTGAACTGGTTCTTTATTAGTCTTATTTAGCAAATTACTTCAAAATCCTGGAGCGATAGCACAGCTGTAGGGTGTTTGCCTTGTGCGCAACCAGCCCGGCCGAGCTGGGTTTGATCCCCCCACCTCTCTTGGAGAGCCCGGCAAGCTACCGAGAGTTTCTCGTCCGCACGGCAAAGCCTGGCAAGCTACCTGTGGCGTATTTTATATGCCAAACACAGTAACAATAAAGTCTCACAATGGACACATTACTGGGCCCACTCGAGCAAATTGATAAACAACGGGAGGACAGTGCAGTGCTTTCACTTCAAAATCCTAGCAATTTATTAAAGTATATGTTAACAACTGGAAGGATCATTTGTATGTGTATATGTTTGTGTTCTAAACTTAGTGTGTATAAAAAGTTGTGATTCCTGTGGTTCTTTGTGTTTTTCTCAGTAGTGATTTTCATAAAGCAAGCAATGGTGAAAAACATTCCCCCCACCCTTTTTTTTTTTTTTTTGCTATGGGCCTCACCTAGCTGTGCCTAGGGGCTGTTCCTGCTGGTGTTTGGATCGAGAGTATCTAAGCAAGTACTACTGGTGTTTGAACCTGGGGCTTCCATATGCTTCAGCCCTTTGAACTATCTCCCCAACCCCTGGAATTTATTCCCTCTGAGCCCTGGGGGTCCCAGACATTGGGTATATTAGAATGCCTCCAGTGCATCTGTCATATAGAGTATTAAACCTTGCACAGCCTCACACGTGTGCTGGACACTTCTAAACTTCTGAGTCAAGAACCTGCAGTTCCCAGAATTTCGAATTTGAGAAAATAAAACCAAATCTGCTGGAGCAGTCAGTTTGTTTTTCTCAGTAATATCTTATTCAGTAAAATCTCTGTCTCTCTCTCTGTCTCTCTCTCTCTCTCTCTTCTTCTCTCTCCTTTCAGTATAATTTGGCATGCTTGTTTCTCTGTTTGGATGTCACAATATTGTGCAATTATACACTGACTATCTAAGGTGATTTGCATTGTATAATATAGAGGTTAGCAAGTAGCTGGGGACCTACTTTCATTTCTAAAACTTTTGTGCTTTCCTAACAAACTGGTATGATTTTCATTACTGCAGGCTGAATAACTTCCAGTGTGTTCATTCCATTGACATTCCTGGAGATTATTGATATAAAGGACTTTGTTGTTTGTTGCCTTTTTTTGTTGAGTGGGTTTGTGGGCCACGTCTGGCGATGCTTAGGGGCTGAAGATTGGGGAACAGTGTGAGTGCCCACACCGGGCACTGGGAGAGGTCTCATTCTTAAACAGAACTTGGACTGTGGTGGTTCATAGGGACAGTGGACAGCGATGACCCCTGTGTTTGTGACATGCTCTAGGAGATGGATGAAGTGGTAGGTTGGCATAGGAGCACGGAAAGACATCTCTTATCTGGAATGAAAATTGAATAGTTGAGGAAAGCTGCTTGATGAAAATGAAATCTAAATTGAGATCTGAAGAATGAAATAAGAGTTAACCAGGTTTAACAGGAACACGAAAGGCATTTTTAGACAAAGGAAACAGAGTGAAGGCTTGGAAGTGAGAAACAATACTGACTGGGAACGGAAAATAGCTCATGGTTTCATAATGGAAGGTTTCGGGTGGGGTTGGAGGGAACAAGGTAGGAATGGGGAGAACTAAGAATGGTCTTAAAAAACCTTGGAAGTCAGCGGCAAGAGTTGGGGTTTTATTTTACTGGCAAAATAGTCACCAAGGGACTTTAAGCAGTTTAGAAGTGTGCCACCAGATTTGGATTTTACAAATTTCATCAATTGGCTAATTTTTGTGATGCTTATTAGATTATAAATCAGTAAGATAGAGGAAGAGCCAGTTGTAATAATCCAGCATGGTTGATGGAACAGGATATTGTCCATTCGATTAGATGTGTGCGGTAGAAGAACTGAAAAGAGGTGTAGGGAGTAGGCGTTGGTGTTTGGTTGGGTATGGAGCGCTGCTCATCTCCAGAGACCATCACCCGTTTGTTGTGCTTGTGCACCAGGAATTTTGCTTGAGCTGTGTATCAGGAGAACAGAAACAGATTTGGACCCTCTCTCTCAAGGAGTTTATAATCTAGTTGGCAGGGAGGGAAGCCCTAAATGAAAGTTCTGCACAGGTAAATGTGCTCTTGCTGCTGCATTATCAAATATTATAGATGACACATACACATACCATTGAGGCTTAGAGTCGGTTTACAGAAATGTTCTCTGAGAATTGGCAGGAGGAGAAATTGGAAAGAAAGATTTCAGCTTGGTGAGAGGTTAGACAAAGAAGGTAAAAAAAGCAGTTTCCAGACAGAGCCACTGGCTCTGAGGTTAGAATTATGGCTGAGGAGGAGCAAAGGAAGGTTTGTGTGACTGGAAGACCTGGTATGAATAGTGGGGGAAGTCTCACGTTAGGGAGACTAATATTTATCCCAGAACCTTGGGAAGGGTGAGAATAGGTTGTGGTGGAGATCCTGAGAATAGTTATGTTGTCAGATTAGAATTTGAGAAAAAAAATCACCTTTGACATAGTGCAGACCGTGTTTTGAAGTTGTTCAGAGCGGCTGTGTGGGTCTGAAATCTGTTGTAGTTGATCATGTGAAACAATAGTAATTTACATTAAGGTAGTGATAGAGAAGATGGATTGAGAAGGGAACAGTGACAGAAATCTGAATTAGACAGTTGCCATATTCTCAACTTTGCTACAATCTAGAATCCTATTTCTGCCAATCTGTTTCCACTTCTTTATTTGGGCCCTGTTCATCTATCAGCTCCTGAAATGTTCTTACTGCCTGCATTCTTGTTCCTTCCCATTGTTCTTGCTAGAATATCAACCCCAAAATGCATATTTGTTTTTCACTTCCTTATATGTGGAAAAACCCTTGATATATTTCATATATATATGAAAAATATATGAAAAATCCTAGCTCTCCTTGGACTTCAGGATGAAGTCAAAAGCTTTGGAGTATGTATAATCTTGTTTATCCCATCCTCTGTATAGTCACGACTTGCAAAATGCTTTTCTCTATTTAATGAATTGAATTGAAGATTATGTTCAAGTTTCTGTCTTAGAGGCTGGGTGATAGTAAAATTCATACAGGAAACAAAAGCAAGTTTGAGAAAAAAAAGATGATGAAATCACTCCCAACATATGAGAACCCACCCTCACCAGTTGGTATTGGAAGGAGTTGAGTAAGAGAGCTGATTAGAAAGAAACACTGACTGAAACTTGTAGAATAAGGTTTGAGAAAGAGTGGTGTAAATGGTGGTGGTTGTAAGCTTAAATGTTGATTAAAAGATTTTACTTAAAACAAAAACCTAGGGGCCGGAGAGGTAGTATAGTTGGTAGGGTTGTATACAAGGCAGACCATGTACAAAGCTGACCTTGGTTTTATTTCTTGCACTCCATATGGTCTCCTAGGCCCCTTCTAGGAGTGATCCCTAAGTGCAGAGCGGGGGAGCTCTGGACACAGCTGGGTGTGGCCCCCAAATAAAGAAAAAAAAACCCCATCTAATTAATGCCTGATCATCACTCACCACTAGGGGTCACTCCTGAGCACAGAACCAGGAACAGTCCTTACTACTGCTGGGTTGCAGCACCTCACATCCAATTTCTCATTGATGTTATTGATGTTTCAAATTTAGTGGCTGATATTCTCATTGCTCCTAATATTGAATTATTTTTTCAGGTGAATTTAGGAAAATTAGCAAACTATACTTTTTCAGCTTTACTCCAATTATGGTGAAAAAATGGTGTTAAGTCCTGACAGGCTTTAATGTAATTGTTGGTGGTCTTGGAAAAAATTACGATTTTTTATTTTACTTTTTGTTTTAGGAAAATTAAAATGTGAAGCAGTTGTTGCTGATATCCTAGATAAAGGATCCGGTTTAGTAATTCTTATGGATGGTAACTCATTTCCATTTCTTTTTTTTCCACTAATATTAGAATGATAGGCTTTGTGTTTAACAGTGCTTCACCATAGAAATATATTTATAAGTTTCTATCTTCCAGTTTGTGAGAAAACAAGCTACATACTCTAAAAATGTATAAACTCCTAAAAAATATGAGGGGGGAGGTATATTAAGGAGAAGAGTGGGGGATCAGTTTGGGCCATGAGCCACTGAAAGCCAAAGCCAGAACAGAGGGTATATAAGAGCACGGCTTAAGCTTGTTGAAGTGTGTTTGGGGCAGGCAGGAATACCAGAGTCTCATCTGATAAAGTATGCAACACTCACCAGCATTGTCGAGTGTAGCGTTATCCAAATCTTTGGAATTTGAACTTACTTTACACTGAATCATAATTATAAATAGGAATTAGATTTATAATCTTGTTTACTGAAGCATGTTGAATTCTGAACATGGTTCAAACCCCAAAGCTACATTTTATTTAAAGTGGGAAAAAGAATAGATGTTTAATAAATGTTGATGTACTAGTAACTAAGCAAAATGAAAGCAATATATATAAAAACATAAGAGACAATGTATTGTTAATTTTGGGAATGAACAGTGGAAAGTTTGCTGTCTGATATTTGGGATACAGGATTTATCATTTTTGTTCATTTAAAACAAAACAAACACAGATAATCAAGCTGAATTTTCTGTTTAGCTTTGTTTTTACGAATGCAGCATTGCATGTTTGTTTCCCTTTGCCTCCTTCCACCTCATCTTTTCCAGAATTTTTTTGAGTTTTCTTATTTTCTTATTGTTCTATGTACTGGCCAATTTTGGATTCCAAGTTTCCCACATTAGTTTTCCCCTCAAGTGTAAATTAAAACCCAAATTAAACCTTAGCTTTAATTTGTACTTTTTATTTTGATTCACTCAATTTACTTAGCTATAACTTCATAATGCATCATAGTATATAGAGTTTTTAAAGTACAAATTAAATTACATCGTTTCCTGTATAATAATGATATAGGTCTTATTTTAAGTGAAGATTGCTAGGCATCCCTTTTTTTAATAGATTTTTTTTTTGACTATGCAATTCAAGATTCTATTCTTAGTTTTCTAGAGCAAGAGATAGAGATATTAGTCACTCTCTAGGACCCAGTAGAGAAATGGATGTCTGTCTCACATTCACTTATGACTTGTGTATTTGTTAATTTTCTCATTCGTTTAATTATTGTTTTTCTTTGGGGTCACACCCTGTAGTGCTCAGGGACTAGTCCCTAGCTATGTGCCATATAGGGTCCAGTGCATGCAAAGCCAGCACCCTAAACCCCTTTCGATCTCTTATTTTTTGATTTATTAATTTGACAGCTATTTATTTGGTTCATTTATGTAACAAGTACTGTTTTAATTTCTAAGGATATAATGGATCAGCAAAACAGCTATGGTCCTGTTCCTCGGAACCATATACCATTATTTTCTCTTAGACATCCCTGCTTTTCTTGAGTGTTTTCGCAGCATGCTTGGCAGTTTGAGACTGGGAGTGTTTGAAACATTTGCGGTGCAGAGATTTGAAATGTGAAAGACAGTTGGGGTGGTGGTCGTGGATCTACTTAATGTTTTTTATAACGACTTGGTCTCCCCCCTTTCCTTTTTGTTTACTTTTCAGTCTACGCTTATTCTGATAAGGAACTTATTTGCTACAATCAGTTTTCTCTTTTCCTTGTTGGCGCTGGAGGTATTGGTGGAAAACGGACATCGGATAAAGCCAAGGTAGACTGTGACTGAATATTGTGTATTGGAGGAAGTTTATCTGAAGGGCCATGTGTGTCATTGCACAGAGAGCCTCAGGAACCCTCATTTTCTGAGTCAGAATATGCTCCTTGGATTTGATTTCTGTTTTTGTGCTCATGTTTCAACATGTAACTATGTGTGTGTGTGTGTGTGTGTGTGTGTGTGTTTAAACTCTATCTCAGTAAAATACTTGATATTATTAAGGAAATATTCTTTTTCATATACACATAGTAGCACCCAAAGACTCTAGATAAACCTGACACACACAAGTAATTCGTGTGTAAATTAAAACCATTCAACTCATAGTGATTTAAGTGTTTTCCTTATGTGAGTTCTCAAATTCTTAGAAATGTTTTATTTGTATTTTAATTAGATTTAATACACTAATTACATCTAAGTATTTAAATATTTTCATTTGACTTAATAATTACTTGTAATTTATTTGGGGTAGGAAGATTATGCTGTAGTAAATGCAATATTCCTTAGAACCTGTCTCCACTGAAACAGCCCTAACTGGTAAAAGTTAAAAAAGAAATATTTAGCTTCTGGAAATTGTTATGAAGGCTTTTAGACAGTTGAAGAGAGATTTATTCAAGAGGCTGGGAGAGAATCCAAAGGGCTGGAGCACATGCCTTGCATAGTCAGGAGGGTATAGTACCTAGCACCATCTGCCCCCCACACCCACACCCTCACCCACCCCAAGTGTAGTCCTCATGGCCGCTGAGCAGTGACCATATAGCATTTTTCGGGTATCAGTAGCAGTGGTGTCTGGATCATCTGAGTGCTGCTTGGGAGGTACCTATTCCTTAAAAATAGAAATATTTATTCAAGAAAGTCCATGGTCTTTTTAAAAAAATTTTATTTATTTTGTTTATTTTTTAATTTTTATTAGTGAAACACCGTGAGGTACAGTTGTAGACTTACAAATTTTTGTGCTTGGGTTTCAGTTATTCAATGATCAAGTACCCATCCCTCCACAGTGCCCATTTTCTACCACCACGGGTCCCAGTATCCCTCCCACCCCCATCTCCCCCATGCCACCCTGCCTCTGTGGCAGGGCAGTCTCTTTTGTTCTCTCTTTCCTTTTGGGTGTCGTGGTTTGCAAAAGAGGCATTGAGTGGCAAACATGTTTGGTCTATAGACTACTTTCAGCATGCATCTCTCATCCTGGGAGGATCCTCCCAACACCCTTTATTTGGTGCTCCCTTCTCTATCTGAGCTCCCTTTTCCCCTAGCATGTGCTGTTGTCCTCCAAGCCATGGAGCAAACCTCCTGGTACTTATCTTGTCTATTCTTGGATGTTAGTCTCCTATTTTGTTACTTTATGTTCCCCAGATGAATGCAGTCTTTCTATGTCTGTCCCTCTCTTTCTGACTCATTTCGCTTAACATAATACTTTCTATGTAGTACCACTTGCATGTAAATTTCATGGAAAGTCCATGGTCTTGCTAAAAACAGTGAGAATGTGACATTTGGGCTAAAGTTCTTTTTCTTTAACTGATGCAACGTGAGAGGCGGAACACTTGTATTTCCTGCAGTGAGGAATGCAGGGGCCCACTGTCCCTAACCTCCCTGTACATGTGGGATGCACATATGTGTGCATGTCCCCCCCATCTCTCCCCCCCCCCCCCCACATACATATATGTAGGGCCATACTTACCTTCCAGAAAAATGCTGGCCACCAGCTATTTGCTGTGGAAGCCTTACTTCAGGTAAAAGGGACTTTAGAGTTGTGGACGCTTTCCCTGACATGAAAGGAAGAGGAAAGAGGGGCAGGGAGATGTCTCAAAGGGCTGGAGCACATGCTTTGCATGCGGGATCCCCGTTATTGATTCCTGACATTGCTGGTATAGTGCCAGGCTTTAGTGCCTAGAAGGAAAGGAACAAAGAAAGAAAGAAATAGGAGAGAAAGATCCAGACACAGTCAACAGTACAAGACAAGCAATGGAAAGGACCCGAGTAGACTTAATAAAGATTTCAAAGTAACCGCCATAAATATGTTTAAGTAACTAGAGGAAATCACTCTTAAATAGAGGAAATAATGATAATAAGAGAAATAGAGAAAAATTTATAATTGGAAATTATTTAAAGAAAAAGGATATTATAAGCTAAAAATACAACAAAATGAAGAACTTACTAGAACAATTCAGTATATTTGAACCGTATGAATGTATTTTTTGTATGTATGCTGCAAACCCTGGGCCCCACATGTGCGGGGAATAAGAATTGATCATTTGAGGAAAAACTCAATGAATTCCAAGTAGGATATAAATTCCAAGTGATCCACAGCCTTTGTCAAATGCGTTTTAAGTTATATTAAGTTATATTGAATGTGATCAAAACTGTATCAAATTTATTTTTTTAATTTTTTAATTTTTAAAAATTTTATTAGACACCATGAAAAACTATCAAATTTAGATGTGACTTGATTATCTTGTTCTTTATAGTTGTCATCTTTAAAACGAATGTGAAAAGGTCTTTTTTCTCCTTTGTGGCCTAGAACTGTGTTTCCCGGTCTTTTTCTCTTGCCCCCTCCTAACATTTTGCCTTCCTGTGTTCCCTTGACCTGCCTTTTAGGCCCCCAGTCTCATGCCAGGGTCCCCATTTATGTGATTTTTCTTGTAGCCCCTTTGGAAAATATTCTGGCCTGTCTGGAGGTGGTGGAGGGGTGTGGTCTGTAGTTGAGACAGCCTGCTTAGAAAGCGGATCTGGTTATATCATTCTTTCTGTTTAGGCTTATTAGAGGCAAATTCTACATGCAAATGAAGCCAGCCATTTAAACAATTTTCAAATGCCTTTTCCTCTTGTATATAAAATACTTAAAAAACAAAAGGTCTTTCTATTTAGTGGAGCCTGGTTGTGTATGAAATGCCAATGTAGGTGAAAACAGTTAACAATGGCCTTGTTAAAAGGTAAACAATGCTTTTGATTCTAGGATGCTGTAGCCATCCCCAGGAGACCCCCAGATGCCGTGCTCACTGACACCACCTCCCTGAACCAGGTAAAAACTATAACTCTGAAGTGCTTCCAGATCCCTTTCATGTACCCTTCAATAGCATGGAAATGAGTTTTGTGGTCATTTCCTTCCTTCCTTCCTTCCTTCCTTCCTTCCTTCCTTCCTTCCTTCCTTCCTTCCTTCCTTCCTTCTTTCCTCCCTTCCCTCCCTTCCCTCCCTTCCCTCCCTTCCCTCCTCCCCTCCTCCCCTCCTCCCTTCCTTCCCTTCCTTCCCTTCCTTCCCGTCCGATCCTTCCTATCCTTCTGATCCTTCCATGAATCACCATGAGGTATTGTTATAAAGCTTCCATGATTGAGTTTCAGTCATACAATGATCTAATACCCATACCTCCACCAGTGTACATTTTCCACCATCAACGTCCCCAGTATCCCTCCTGCCACCCCCACCCCACTCCTTGCCTCTATGGCAGACTTCTTATTCTCTATTTTTGGGCATTATGGTTTGCAATACAGGTACTGAGAGGCAATCGTGTTTGGTCCGTTACTCAGCTTCCAGCACACATCTCCCATCCCGAGCATCCCTCCAACTATCATTGACGTAGCAATCCCTTCCCTGTCCCAACTACCTTCTCCCCAGCTCATGAGGCTGACTTCTAACCATGGAGCAGTCTTCCTGACCCTTGTCTCTACTGTCTTTGGGTGTTAGTTTCATATTATGTTATAGAATGCACTTTTTAAAAGAGTTTCCATTGCCAGTCTTCACTAGACAGCAAAAGCGAAAAAAGAAAAGACTTTTTATTGGTTACTCAGAAAAGCAGCATGCCTTGTTGGCAGTGGAGTATGGGCTGGCCTGAAGGAGACTTAGTGAAGAATTTCACTTTAAAGGGTAGGATAAAAATAATCAAAAGACACACTTAAATCAGCTTTCCTTTGGGTGGAGGGGGCGGGGAGAAGTAGGGGAGTGCCGAGCTGTGTCACATCACTTGGAGACTGTTCTTGTTTTTGCTAACTTGAGTGAAAAGACAACAGTGATCCTGAAAGAGGCTAAGGAGAGATAAAATGTTCTGTCAGGTGGCAACTTCTGTGAGCATGCAAAGATTTAAGAAACCCAAGGTAATGATAAAGATGAGAAAAGTAGTATCGATTTTCAGAGACCTGAAGATCCTTCTCTGCAGTGACCAGGAGATTAACCAGGTAGACAGAGCTGTAAAGCTCTGAAGTCATCCTCAGAGGAACATTTCATGACCGCTGATGATTAGACAAGTTCACATGTTTTGGGGAAGCTAATTTTGTTATCCTTGATATAAAAATCTACATAAGATTTATAGTCTGCTGGCAAATAGAAATTTAATTTCATGAGCCAGAAGAATTATAAAGTTGGTACCTACTTTTGTTGTGGTAGTTTTTCTATTCAGTTAGATGAACAATACTTTTTTCCATCAGATTCAGTTTTCGCCTTAAATGTTTTTCCCTCATCCCTTACTGGTTCTTATCAGTTTCCTAAGAATGCACCCGTGTTTATGTTTAATTAAAGTTTCACAGAATACTTTCATCAGGGCAGTAAAGAAGAGAAAAGACTTCGGGGTTTTATGGCTCAGAGAACCCAACAATGCTGTTATTATTCTTGGGGTACTGATAAACAGAGTGTATCTGCTGTAGATAAGAAAAGCTGAATAGTTTTCCATGGCTTGAATTTCTGCGCACAGTAAGGAGGGAGATTTGCTTTCTTTGACTCTTTTTGAGATGGATAGAACTTTGTGTTACCTTTAGCAGAGTTTTTTTTGCTGTGATAATGCACACTTTTAAAATTAATTTGTGTGTGTGTAAATGTGTAAATAATGGGTATCTATCCTGTGACTCCAGCTCTTGGCCATTTTGTATCATAGTGAATATTGTGAAAGCTACAGGCAGCTTTTTCCAAAACCTTTTTTTAATAAAACAGCAGAAGTTTCAGGAAACTAGGAGCGATAGCACAGTGGTAGGGCATTTGCCGTGCCGAGCCGGGTTCGATTCCTCCTCCCCCCTCAGAGAGCCTGGCAAGCTACCGAGAGCATCTTGCCCACACGGCAGAGCCTGGCAAGCTACCTGTGTCATATTCAATATGCCAAACACAGTAACAAGTCTCACAATGGAGATGTTACCGGGCCCGCTCGAGCTAATCGATGAACAACGGGAGGACAGTGCTACAGACAGTGCTCTAGGCTATTTTCACCTGCATCCTGTGGTGGAAGAGACAGAAATCAAAGACTGAATGGACAGTTGGATACTCAAGGAACGGCAGTTTGAATAACTAGGGCGCCTACTCCAAGCAATGATTGATTCAATAAAGGCCTTGAATTGTAGATTCTGTGTTGCAGATATTCACTGAGGGCATGCTCACCAGGATTGATAGGATGTAACTGATGAAGGGGATCAAAAGGAACGAGTGTCCGTGGGGCGAGAGATCAGGATGTGTGTGCAAGGAGGAATAGTGGGAGGTTTCAGTTTGGACAATAGGAGCAGGTGATTGTGGATGGGCACTGCAGTTTGTGGTAAGTTAGCCACGTTCAAGTGAGAGCCACTGGTGTTGGGTGTCGGTGCCTCTATGCCAGCATTTTATTTATTTATTTTTTTATTGAATCACTGTGGGAAAAGTTACAGAGCTTTCGGGTTTAGGTCTCAGTCATGTAGATACCAAACACATTTCCCTTTACCAATACTCATTTTTAACCCCGAACCCCAATAGACCCCCACCTCCCACCCCTCCCAATTCTTGTGAGGCAGATGAGTTCTAGTTAATACTCTATCTACTTTGACTAGATAGATTATTTCGATAGAAGATGCACAATTATTGTTTAGAGTTTACGACCCACCCCCCCCCCCCCATCAGACATGCTGAAACAGCGTTGTGAAATGATTTGCTTTCTACAACGTGGTTTAAGAATAAAATGATGTCGCGCGGCCGCTATTGCGGCCGCGTGGTTTTGAATTTCTGCTATTTTACTTATTGACCCTGGAAGAATTTCTATTAAAAGTTAGCTAGTTAAGAGATTGGTTTCTGTGCCCTGGAGTCGTGGCCGTGCCGGAGAGCCGCTTGTGGGGGGCAGCTGGCGACCTCGGTGGGGCGTGGGGGACGGCCCACAAAGCCCCCCTTCCCATGAGGTCCCCGCCGCTCCCCCGAGCCCGGCTCAAGCCTGCTTTCCACAAGGCTCCCGTGCGGCCGCCATCTTTCTTTCCAGAGAGGAGCGGGCGGGCCGGTCAACGCCCTTCCCCCTCCGGGCAGGCTTGGTGGCGCGGATCAACACAAGTCCATTTGCTTTTCTGCTCCAAGCGGCTGGTTCTCTGTGCAAAGTCCTTGTGCCTCCGGGGCTGTGGCCGTGCCGGAGAGCCGCTTGTGGGGGGCAGCTGGCGACCTCGGTGGGGCGTGGGGGACGGCCCACAAAGCCCCCCTTCCCATGAGGTCCCCGCCACTCCCCCGAGCCCGGCTCAAGCCTGCTTTCCACAAGGCTCCCGTGCGTATGCCAGCATTTTAAAAAGGAGTCGGAATTGGGGAGGAAATGTGTCACTCACTCTAGCAGACACTTTGCTCTGAGAATTGAGATGGAAGTAATTTTTCCAGGAAGAAAATTGGTGGCCATATTTTTTAATCTCAAGTATACTTGACTCTTTTTCATAATCAGTAAGCAGAGGATTCATTTCTAGCAACCTAGAAATATCAAAGAATAAACAGACATTAGATGTCAGGTTCTGCGTTTGGGGAGAGCAAAAACAAGTTACCTGTGGTTTCCTCCAATACATAGCTTATACTGCCTACTCTAACAGGGTCATAGCTTATCACGTTATTAAAGAAACTCTTGGCATTTAGTTAGACTGTAGATTATAATGTACATTTTCATTAAAGTGCCATGTGTATCTTATATGTTCTGCCCTAGTTCTGTGGGTTGCCTGAGTGGCCCTCCTGCAGCAGCTGTGACTTGCCCTTTCTGTCATCTCCTATGAGGACTGAACATGCTGATCCAGGATCCAGCTGCTGTCCCAACCCTGGGGCCTTCATGCCTCTCCTCTGAATGGGACTCTTTTTGTCTTGGGGTATCCCGTCTCCCAGTGCCTTTCCACAGAGGTGTCTCAGGCGGACCTCTCTCTAGGTTCCTGCAACTGTTTGCTGTGCATCTCCAGTTACACAGCTTTATGGAACTCTTGTCTTCGAGGCGCTTTGACCTGGTACACAGGAAAGTCCTATACTTGTGACAGTCTCATTGCTCCTACCTCAGCTTATCACTCCACAGCACTTCTGTTTTTATTGGTGTCTTTTGCTTCCTACTTGTTTCCTGTATGATATAGAGCCCATTTTATTTTCTTGTTCCCTTTTCCTTTATTGCTCCCATTTTGAGGGAGACATTAAATACATTCTGGAGGATATTTAACATTTATATATTCTTTCTCTTCTGTTTTTATTCTTGTATTTGCAATTAAATACGTTGCTGGAGCACTGGGGTAAATCGCCTACCCCACTGGTTTCTTGCAGACAGCCTTAGATGGATGAGGAAAGGGCAGAATAGTTTAATAGCATTTGGGAGATTAGCATATACAGGGCCAAGTAGTTCTTTCCTGAGCTTCACCATCCTCTAATTTCTTTTTTGTTTATGGGTCATTTATATTCTTTGTCTTTTTTTTTTTTTTTTTAAATTTCAGATTCCAGGTCCTTGCTTTATATCTGCAGATGTTAATTTCTGTGGCAGTGGCAGTTTTCCTCTATCCAGCCCTAACTCCAGTGCCCATTCTCTTCTTTGGCATTCTCCTTTTCCCCCCACACTCAATGGCAGGTGTTACAAAAGCGTTTGATTTATGGTTTTTCTTTTGGGTTAGAACGCTATTTTTTCATCAGAGCCTCAGTTAGGTACAATTAAATGCAGACTCGTATATGCAAGTAAGTTTGTATGCACGTTACTTTTTTTTTTTTTTTTTTTTTTTTTGCTTTTTGGGTCACACCCGGCGATGCTCAGGGGTTACTCCTGGCTCATGCACTCAGGAATTACTCCTGGCGGTGCTCGGGGGACCATATGGGATGCTGGGAATCGAACCTGGATCGGCCATGTTGGCTGCGTGTAAGGCAAACGCCCTACCCGCTCTGCTATCGCTCCAGCCCCGCACGTTACATTTTTTCTGTGTTTTATGTAAAGGATTCCAAGAAAGCACTGAGCGCTAGTTATTCTTTTTGACTCTCTCCACAGGCTGCCTTGTACCGCCTCAGCGGAGACTGGAATCCCTTACATATTGATCCTATGTTTGCTGGTGTAGCAGGTGAGTGGCTAATAGTCTATACCAACGAAAATTATTAGCTCTGTTACCTAAATAACATACTTTAAAGACATTGCTACATATCATGGCAGTTTGAATTTGCACTTATGGAAGTCACAAGGGAAGCGGGGAATGTGGTATCCAGAAAATGATGTACTTGAAGAAGTTCAGTGTATGGTGGAAAGTCCTGCTAGTGCAAAGCCAAGGATTGAGCAGTGGAGGGGGTATTGGTTAGTGTGGGATCAGGGTGTTGGAGGAGAGGGCAAGAAACGGAAGGGTTAGAGAAGGAGCCATCTCCACATGGAGACTGAAATCACCAAGAATGACTTTGTTTTACAACCAAAGCCAGACAGTTAACTCAGATAATTCTTTATATAGTAATTAAATATGAGGAAATAATTCTTTGTGTTCTCACTCTCTCACATCCCCCTTCCCCTGCCTCCTCCCCACCCTCACCCTGAGCCCTCGGGTTTCATACTTATCTCAGGAAATATCATTTGTAAAATATTCTCTTTACTCCTTAAAATAGAATTCATGTCAAGGAAACCATGGAGGCATTATTTTTGAACCCTGATTTAACTACTTAAACATGAAAAAATCTCTATATTTCCTGTCTAGGTTTTAAAAAACCCATCTTACATGGATTATGCACATTTGGGTTTTCTGCGAGGCATGTTCTGCAGCAATTTGCAGATAATGATGTGACAAGATTCAAGGCTATTAAGGTATGTGTGTAGTATGGCGCAGTGGCACTTTTATTTTTAGAGAGTAAAGGGATTTTAGTGATTTCATTGAAAACAGGTACATCGGGTAGTGTGCTTACTTGCACACGGCAGATCCGGGTTCAGTCCCAGGCATCCCATATAGTCCTGTGTGCATTGCCAGGAGTTATCCCTGAATGCAGAGCCAGGAGTAACCCCTGACTTTATACTTGAGCACCACTAGAGAGCAGGGGCCAGAGATGAGCTCAGAGTCTGTGCTTCTTCTGCCTCATGAGCTAGGGGAGAAGGCAGCTGGGATAGAGAAGGGATCACTAAGTCAATGATGATTGGAAGAATTGTTCGGGATGGGAGATGTGTACTGAAAGTAGATAGAAGACCAAACAGGATAGCCTCTCAGTATCTGTATTGCAAACCATAATGCCCAAAAGTAGAGAGAGAGTATGGGGGAAATTGTCTGCTATAGAGGCAGGGGAAGGGGTGCAGTGGGGGTGGGGGGACACTGGGGACATTGATGGTGGAATATGTACACTGGTGGAGGGATGGGTGTTACATCATTGTATGATTAAAACTCAAACATGAGAGCTTTGTAATTGAAAAAGAAATGTAATCTGGAAAAAAAAATATATGTCTGCGTTTCATATGTATGATGTCCTGGATTCAAGTACCAGCTCACTCCAACCTCCCAAAAGAAGAAACCCTGAAAGACAAATCAAAATGAAATTTTCTTGAGATTTAATTGTTTTTGTGGATTTGCTTCAGTTTATTAAAAAATGTGTAGAGGCCCTTAAAGACAAATCGAAATGAAATTTCCTTGAGATTTATGCTAATTATTACTTTTTTGTGATTTGCTTCACTTTAATAAAAATTCTGTAGTGGGCATATTTGAATACTAATAAACATTTCTGTATCAACTTGATAGTTACTTGTTGAATTTTCTATATTTCTGAATTGGTTTTAAGTTTGTACCCATGAAGAATGCCAAAGAGATATATGTGTGTGATATTGTTGAAGTATAAATTAAATTATGTACACTAAAAAAGTTTAAGACATTGTCAAATAGCTCCACTGGCTTTGATGAATAATGTTCTGCGCAAACAGTAAAAATGCATTTCTTATGTCTTTCCCTTGATAACACTTTATTCTTAGGCTTTTCTTTTTAGTAAGACTCTTTATTGGTATCTAGTAATATATACACAGAAAAACTAGAAAGCAGTGTAGATAGCTTTGCAATTAAAAAAAATAGCATAATTTTCTCATTTAAATGTACTACAGATTTCATTAATGAGATTTACTTAGTGCCTTATGTTTTGTTTGGTTTTCGGAGCCTGCCCAGTAGTGCTAGGACCAGTAGAATTAGAATGACCTGTACTAGGGATTCTGGGAATCGGTACAGGCTTCCTGTATTCCAGATTTGCTTTCCAGTCCTGTGAGCCAGTCTCGGTGATCACCTGTCTAACTCCACTTAAGATAATCATGCTTTTGTTTTTTTTATTTGTCAGCATATATTGACTCCATACTTTGAAAGAGCAAAGAATTAACTCAGTTTTGCTATGTCCTTTCTTTACTGATTTTATTATATTATCATTATTATTTTTAGTAATTTCTGTATAAATTGCTTAAATTGCTGTTTTTTTTTCCAGTGCTCTAATTTCCCATCCAATTTTTTTCTCCTTCAAGTAGAAAAGTTTTCAAAATATTTTCAACCCTAATACTCTTTTTCTTTCGTAAAGGTTCGTTTTGCAAAACCAGTATATCCAGGACAAACTCTACAAACTGAGATGTGGAAGGAAGGAAATAGAATTCATTTTCAAACCAAGGTATGCATAATGGAGTTGTAGTTGTTTTGTCACCTGCTTCATATATATCCTCTGTTTCTGTTCCAGCTAGCTCTTAGTGGTTAGTACTCAGGCTTGGAGACAAAAGTTAGAAGGTGTCATTATTTCAGTCAGTACTCACCTTTACTGGAAAAATAAGAGACCTATGTGTCTTTAAAATATTTTTTTCCTTTTTTTTTTTTTGAACCAAATTGATAATAGCTATTTGGAAAATCCAACCAATTAGATATTTATTTTGAGGGCGCAATCATAGTCAAATTGTTCAAAATACAATCTTCAAAAAATTGAAGATTGACTCTAAGATATAAATAGGACAAGCATTTAGTTCATTTGTGAGGAATGGCTTCAAAGAGAATTGGAACAGCAGTGATGAGATAGAGAAGAAAAGTGTCTGCCATAGAGGCAGGTGGCTGGGAGGGAAAATGGGGACATTGGTGGTGGGAAGGGACGGGTGTTGGAACATGGTATGACTGGAACCCAGTCATTAACAACTTTGTAACTGTGTATCTCACTGTGATTCAGTTTTTAAAAATAGATATTTTAATAGTGTTGTTCTGAAATAACTCTGCTGAATTATAGGCATCACTAGTTAATGTCTGCCAATCCCTTATGGTTATCTTTTCTACTGGACAGAAAGACTGTGCGTCTTGATCATAAAAAAATCTGAAAATTAACATGTTGTGTCCCAGGGTTGAATCCTAATTTGTGAGAAGTCCAGGACAAATAAGAGTGAATCTCCTATAGAGTTTAGTAATGGGGGTGTGGTGGGAGCTTTAACTGTGCTCCAGAAATCCTAACGGAATGTGATCATCTGATACTCCTTTATTAGTACGCTTCTTAAAATTTTGTTAGCACAGTTGAACAGGCTGACACTTTCTAACCTGGTTGTTGTATGACAGGTGGTTTGTACTGAACAGTCTAAGCACCACTGTCAGTAGTAGCAGTTTCCGTTTACTGTGTACCTGTATTCTGCAGCCCTCTGATTTTATGATTTCACTCAAGTTTTGTTTTTTGAATAAGAGGATGAACTCTAAAAAAATTCTATGGCTAAATTATAGCCCTACCCTCTGTCCCCACCTTCATACACCCCGCCCCCCCACCAATTCTATTAACAGAATAGTACAGGAAGTTTCTTGGATCTAAACTTAAAGGGTGGAGAGGATTATAATAAAATTCTTGTCATTGTGCTAAATTCTATATAATTCTTATCTTAATATATTTAAAATTCTCTGATAGTGACTAGACATACTCTTTTCTTTTATATAGTGTGTGTATGTATATTTTCCTTCCTCTCTTCCCTTAAACTAATATTTTAAGATATGCTTGGCTTTATTAAAAGAAATTAATTTACAAAAGTGTATTTTGTTCTTCAGTTTTCTCTTTTCCTTGCTTTTTACTGTATATAATTTACAGTGAAATGAATTCTTTTAGAGATTCTTTTTTTCCCTCAAGTATTGTATTCACTTTGTGAATGTTTAAACTTAGTTTTAATAAATGCTGCCTTAATTTTTAAACAGTCCTACACATTTGTAGCAGTGTCCTGCTTTCATGAAAGCATAGCCTTTGGAATAGTTTCAGGTGAAACATTAGAAATTATATTTAATGATTATTTCGATAAAAGGCTATTTAAGCTTTAGTTTGATCTCCATATACTGTTTGAAATAAAACTAGAATTGTTGCTTTAAAATGGTCTGTTCTTAGCCAGTTGTACACCTTTTTTGTTTGGTTTTGGTTTGTTTTTTGACTTGGGGCTATTCCCAACTGTCTTCAAGGCTTACTCCTGGCTCTTTGCTTAGGAACTGCGTCTGGCGGGGCTTGGAGATCCTATGGGGTGTCTAGGTTTGAGCTCCGATCTGCTGGGTACAAGGCTAGCACCTTCCCCGCTGTACTGTCTCTCCAGCCCTGCCCAGTGTAGTTTATATTAATAGAATAAATGCATTTTGAGTACCTCTGTGACTTACTGTCCCATACCTTTGTCTATGTACAGTAAGTTAGCAGGTCACACCTATGCTCCCCCCTCCATTAGATACACTTACATTCTTTTTTTTTTTTTTAATATTTTTTATTTATTTGTTGAGTCACTGTGAGAACAGTAACAAAGCCTTTCAGTTCAAGTCTCGGTCGGTCATACAATGATCAAACACCTGTTCCTTCACCAGTGCACATTTTCCACCACCAGGAACCCCAGTATACCCCCCTCCCAGCCACCCCCCAACTGTGTAGCAGATTTCCACTTTACTCTCTCACTATGTTGATCACATTCAATATTACGACAAAAGACCAACCATTGTTATTTGGAATTTTCCCCAACATTCAGACCCGCCACAGAGACATCATTAGAAAATTTGTTTTCTAATATTGATTATGAAGAGCATATGATGTTGTGTGGTCACAATGGTGGCCACGCGAATTTGGATTTCTAATATTTTAGTAATAAACCTAGAGGGATTACTGCCAGAAGCCCCTGGGTTCTGAGATTGGTATATGTGCCTCTGGGTTCATGGTTGGTCAGAAGCCGGAGGAGGTGTTTGAGGGTGGCAACCCGGAGCACTGTCTTGGCGGGGAGCAGGGCCGATTCCATCCCCCATCCCTGAGGCCCCACGTGCCTCGTCAATGCAGTCACATACCTGGCTGTTCATTAGACCTTAAAAGATGCAGGCCACCATGTTGCTGCCGCAGAGGGGGACAGGCGGAGGGACAGACACCTTCCCCCTCCCAGGGCAGCATAGCACCATGGTTAAATACACAGTCCAGATGTATTTCGTTTGGGCATTATCTTTTGCTGAGATTTTCCCACCACCATTCAAACCTGATTTTCAGGGAGAAATGCTGGATGATTTACTTTCCATTGATTACTTTGCATGTCAGGAAATGTCGTAAGGCCACATAAGTGGCCACGCGGTTCAGAAAAATTGTCCTGGTACCCGCATGCCAGAGCCATGCTTGTAGAAGCTCATGGTCACTGGGATTTCATCTGGAGAATGTGGGGAGACAGCACCTACCCCATCTGGGACCTCCTGGTGATATTGGTTCTGTTTGGGGCCTGGAGTATTCTCCGGGAGCTGTGGGTCCCTCCAGCCGGTTTTCTTCTTTGCTGCTCTGTGCTGTAAGATGGCACTGGGGGATGAGTTGTAGGCGTGACTTCTGGAATCAGAGGTTGCCTGGGTGCCCTGGCGGCCCCATTGCAGTTCGTAAAAATTGTCCTGGTACCCGCATGCCAGAGCCATGCTTGTAGAAGCTCATGGTCACTGGGATTCCATCTGGAGAAGGCGGATAGACAATACCTACCCCATCTGGGACCTCTCGGTGATATCGGCTCTGTTTGAGGCCCGGAGCATTCTCCGGGAGCTGTGGGGCCCTCCAGCCGGTTTTCTTCTTTGCTGCTGTGGATACACTTACTTTCTTACAAAATCCTCTAAATACCAAAGCCCAGGCTTACTTGTACCATTTAAATTTCAGCCTGCCTGGTTCATAGGTTTGTCTTGTTTCTTTCCTTTTTGTTTTGCTTTGTTTTCTATTTTTTTTTTTTTTTTTGCCATACTTAGTGTTGAGGGCTTACTCCTGGCTCTGTGCTCAGGAATCACTCCTGACTTGGCTCAAGGATTGTCGTGCCAGTGGTTGAAACTGAGTCAGGTGCTTATAAGGCAAGTGCCCCACCCGCTGTGCTATCTCTTTAGCTCCCATAGGTGTTTAAACATAATGGCTATGGTTGAGTCTAATATGGTTGATTAGTCAGAGTTAATGTAGTAAGAATTATATTAAATGAGTAAACCTTCCTATTTACCTCTCTTGATAATTTGCGAGCTCTCTCATTTGGGTTAGTTTGTTTTTCTTTTGAAGGAAAATTATAAATTTCTTTCAGATGACTCTATACTATTTCACAGAGAAGTCACGTTTTCGTAAAAGTCATCAGTGTGATCTTTTTTCCCCCCTCTTTAGAGTCAGGAAACTGGAGAGATCGTCATAGCCAATGCATATGTGGATCTTGTGTCAACATCTGGCACTGTAGCCCAAGCTCCCTCTGAGGTGGGTTTTATAAACTGTGTCTAAGTCATTTTCTAATGTCTGAATTTCAGGTCAGATTTCTTTAAGAATATTTAGAATACTTTAGAAAATTTTTAATTCTGAGAGATTTTTATTCTTGAACTAGAGGAGAATAATTCAAAACTACTTGGAGTAAAAGGAATGTCTTGGTGTTTGAATTTTTTAAAGATTTTTCTTGGGGGGGGCAGGCGGAGGGCAGATTTTAGGCCATATTTTAATAGTCTCATGTTCTATTGGCTGAACATAAAATATGGTTTAGGCTATGTTTTAAGAGAAAAAAAATAAAGGTTTAGAGTAATTGAATTTATTTAATAAGAAATATTAACCTAATATATTTTGGAGGGAAGTATATTAAAAAGTTAAATGTCCTATATATCTGAAGATTTTTGAAAAGATTATATGCAAATGTAAAAATAGTACCAATTCTTTACAAAAATTAAAATAAAAAAATCTCACTGAGTTTTAGAGCTAGAAATTTAAGCTCACACAATTTTAGTCCATTTTACAAATTGTGTCCTGTGTCTTCTACTGAAATTAGGACATATGTTGTCCAGTTCTTAGTTTCAAACATCTTTTTCTAAATTCTGGTGATAGTAAAATCTTGTTAGGAAGACTGGAGTTTTGCTTGATGAATTTATATAAGGGGACTATGAAAGAAACAGAATATGGAAAAAATGTTTCCCCTGTTCATGGTCAGGTTTTTACATTTCTTCCCTCTTGTGCATATAACTGTAATAATTTCACCCTCCCTTGTTTTTTTTTTTTTTTACTAGGGTGGCAAGCTTCAGAGTACCCTTGTATTTGAGGAAATAAGTCGCCGCCTCAAGGACGTGGGGCGTGATGTAGCGAAGAAAGTGAATGCTGTGTTTGAGTGGCACATCACTAAAGGAGGAAACACAGCAGCGAAGTGGAGTAAGTCCCAGCCTGGCATTTTTAACCTGAGGGAAGAAAGTATCTTTGTCCTGATGAAAATCGATCTCTTAGAAGGGAGGTAAATCTGACCTTCTTGGATGCGTTTTTTTTTTTTTTTTTTTCCCCTTGGGACATATGGGTTTCAGAGCACCCAAAGACATGTGGAAGTTTTAGAGATAATAAGGTATGAATTCAAAATAAAATAGGTATTTGAAAGACTTCATTGTAATATCTGAACTTGGTGTTGTTGAACAGCCGTTTTTAGTGGTAAGCTGCATTAAAATTGAAAGTTCTCTGAAACTTAAAACAAGTACCTCTGAAGTATTTTTTTTTTTTTTTTTTTTTTGCACCCTCACCTGGTAGTGCACATGGTTTGTGTGGATCAGAACTCAGGGAACTATCCCAGAAGCTCGGGTGACTACATGGGGTGCTGGGGATATAACCTGGGCCCACTGTACTATATCCCTCTGGCCCCCTAGAAGTATTTTTTAAGTATTTTGATAATTTTAAAATTGTCTTCCTCATCTCAGAGTTGTAATAATTTGGATTGGTCCATGTAGGCCATATTTAGCGGTGTTCATGGGCCCCTTTTGGCTTTCTTTTGGGGGGGCCATGTGGCTCAGGGGCTCAACTTCCTGAACAGTCTAATTTTTAAATATGAAAAACGGCATCACAGGAAAAGAGATTGGGATGCAGGGCAGCAGGAGATCACTTGTGTTACTGTTTTTTGTTTTTGTTTTTGTGTTTTTTTTATGGGTCACACCCGGCGATGCTCAGGGGTTACTCCTGGCTCATGCACTCCGAAATTACTCCTGGCAGTGCTCAGCGGACCATATGGGATGCTGGGAATCAAACCCGGGGCAGCCGCGTGCAAGGCAAATGCCCTACCTGCTGGGCTATTGCTCCAGCCCCCCACTTGTGTTACTTATTTAAGCTCCTGGGTTCAGAAATCCATATGTCGAAAAATAAACAAAGGCATCTCAGAAAAAAGGACTTAAAGACGTTTTGTAAATGACAGATGTAGAATAATAATTCCTATTTTGGATATCTGCATTTTCTGTTGGTTTATTTTACTTTCCTTTTGTGAAGAATAAAGTATTCATTTTGTATTCTTTTCTCTCCCCCCCCAGCTATTGACCTTAAAAATGGTTCTGGAAAAGTGTATCAAGGCCCTGCAAAAGGCTCCGCTGATACCACGTTTATCCTTTCAGATGAAGATTTTATGGAGGTCGTCCAGGGCAAGCTGGACCCCCAGAAGGTAATGTTCCTAAAATAGTCAGTTACTCATATTATTGCTTTGTTTTTGACAGTTGAAGTATCTGAGCAAACCTCCCACATCCTTACTTATAAGACATTCCTTAGAATTCTGAGGAAGACATTGTTGAACCCCTGCACAATTGAGACAGCTGTATAAATTTTCACTTCTCTGAAAAATTAAATCAAGATCTGCCTGTTGGTTAGAACCCTTGCTGGTGACAGCAGCAGTCAGACAACATGCATTTCATTTTTTCATGTGTATTGGTGTTCTGTTTCACGGATTGATGATCACGGTCCTCCCGTTGCTCATCGATTTGCTCGAGCGGGCCCAGTAACGTCTCCATCATGAGACTCGTTGTTACTGTGTTTGGCATATCGAGTACATCACGGGTAGCTTGCCAGGCTGTACCACAAAGAAACTAGAGAAATGGAAATATTACTAAGAAGTTATTTTCTTGCTAATAATCACAAATACTAGCTAATATTTGGTATTAAAGAAAGTATTATAAAAATATTAAGAAAGAGAATATACCTGTAGTAATTTTTCTGTTATTTTATTTGGGCCCCACCTGCTGTTTCCAGTGGGAGCAGAGGGCAGAGGTCTGGCTTGTCCCTGCCTGGGGTTGCTGGTCCCTACCATCTTGTTGGCGGGATCTTGTGGTTGAGGATTGATTCTGGGCCTCCTGCATGCTAAGCCTGTGCTCCACTCTCGGAGTCACCTCCCTGGGCCCCAGTTATAGGGATTTGATGACTTGAGATTCCATGATCAACTGTATATTTATCTTAATAAATTTACATGTAACAGATCCATGCAGTTTATAACCTCTTATGCTATGCAGTCTGAAGAGAAAGCAGAGTACAGGGCTGGAGTGATAGCATAGCGGGTAGGGTGTTTGCCTTGCATGCGGCTGACTCAGGTTCAATTCCGCCGTCCCTCTCGGAGAGCCTGGCAAGCTACTAAAAGTATTCTGCCCGCACGGTAGAGCCTGGCAAGCTCCCCCTGATGTATTCGACATGCCAAAAACAGTAACAAGTCTCACAATGGAGATATTACTGGTGCCCACTTGAGCAAATCAATGTACAACAGAAGGACAGTGCTACAGTGCTAATGTTAATTGAATTTGGATTGGTGGATCTTGTATATGTGTATCTTAATAAATATTATTTTTTCATGGTCCTAGGGCTCAAAACCAGGGCCATATATATGAGAGACGTGTGGTCTGTAATTGAGCTGCATTCCCAGCTACATTTAATACATTTAGATGTATTTTTATTTTAAAGTACATTTTTATAAAATGAAGTTTCATCAACAGTATTTGACACTGAACTTTGGGTGAAATTCTTCAGTATACAGTAGAACAATATAAAACCCATCTAGATCTTAGTTTAAAGAGGAAGCCCTGTGTTCTTAGATATTTCATTAAGTTAGTCATTTTATTTTGGTACATAAGATAAAAAAGTTGTCATAATTACCATTAAAATGATAAGGAAAAGTCCCAACAACTAGTGTCTTACCTGATATGAAACATACAGAGGGGAATCATGCTTCAGACAAGAATGCCCTCTTTGACCATTATTATTTAAGATTGCTCTGAAACTTTTGGTCGTTAAAAAAAATATAAAATAAAATTATTTCATACTAGTTACGATGAAATAGTTTTTAAAGTCATAATTATGAGGCTAGAAATTGCAAAAGAATCAGCTGAATAATGCTTTTTAGAATGAAGGACTTTGAACAAATAGTTTGGTGCACAGTAATTGTTTGAAAATAGTTTCCATGTAACACTAATACCATCTGGAATATCGAATTAAAAATTTTGTTTAGGGGTCAGAAAGACAGCTCAGTGGGCTGGAGAGCACATGCTGTTTGCTTGTAGGAGGCCCAGCTTCACAGGCTATCCAGGTACACTGCGAGGAGAGTACAGCCAGGAATACTCCTGAACTTCACCTGGTATGTCCCCAAAACAGAAGGAAACAAAATCCATTCATAATCAGAAGAAGTGCACACAGAACAAACTGAATACATGAGAAAACAAACAGTTTTCCTGGATATAGAGAATCAGAAGTCGCAGAGTGCTTAAATATATCATCTCTGGCATTCGATAAATGTAACTTGCCTCTTTGCTCAGTCACACACTCATTGGTGACATGAAAATAATAATTACAACAACCCCACCGATTGTTAGGATAACTAAAACCCAGCTGTGCATGCCAAGAGCTGCCTTAGTCCCTGCCTGGTGCCAAGTGAGCCCGCTTAGGGATCTGCTCAGCACCTGCTCTCACGTGGGTTCGAAGCACGCAAAGGAGACGCTGCCTCTGCCTGCAGGGTTCAAGTGGCCATCAATGAAACATGAGCTCGTGGATGGATATGGCTGTGTTTCAGTCAAATTGCTGATGAAAACACTAACTTGAGCCTCACCAGCTGGTTTTGTTAGGATTGTTCAAAACAGGGGGGCGGGGGGAAGCATCATTAAGAAAGGCTTGGACTCGATCCAAGTGCCAGCAGGAGCTGCTGTGCGGAGGACCCTGTAACTGAGAGGGGCGAGGAGGGGAGGCGGGAGAGGGGCATGAGGGCTCTGTGGCCGCACAGGCTCTGGGGTGAGCTTCAGGTAGGTGAGACTGTGTGTGATGGGGAGTTACTCGAGAATTGGACAGGCGCTTTTTAAAGAAATATCACAGTCTGGTCATTCTCAGAGTCTGCCCTCAGAAACGGGATGGGAGCAATGATCCTTGGACAGAGTTCTCCCACTCTGGCTGTGAGCAAATGTGGCTGCATGTCATCCACTGAGCGGTAGGCGGGAGATTAGCTCCATTTGCACTCTCGTGGTTCTCGGGGCCATTTCTGGCTGCTGCCGTCATTTGTGTGATTGCAGGGAGGGTGGTCACACTTTCAGCCTTCCATTTTCCTGGCACACTTACCAGATTCTGCGAAGTCCCCCTTGATGTTCCTCTAAATTGCAAAAACATGCATTCTCTCTCTCTCTCCCTCTCAATCACCATGAGATATAGTTACAAAGCTTTCATGTTTGAGTTTCAGTCATACGACCAAACACCCATCCCTCTCCCAGTGCATGTTTTCTACCGCCAATGTCCAATGTCCCCAGTATCTCTCCACCCCCCCCTCCCGTCCCACCCCTTCCCCTGTCTTCTGTGGCAGACAATTTCCTTCTTATTCTCTCTCTACTTTTGTTTTCCATCCTTTCACTTTGAGTCTATGTTTGCTGACTGTTCAGATGTGTTTCTTGTAAGCAGCAGAATGTTGGGTTCTGTCTCTGAATTCATTTTGCCACTCTGTCTCTTAATTGGTGCATTTAGACCATTGACATTGAGAGAGATTATTGTCATGGGGTTTTGTGCCATCTTTCTGTGGGGGTTTGTTGTGCTTGTAGGGGTTTTTCTTGTCTTATGGTAGCCCTTTTTGTTCTTCTTTTAAGTTTGGTTTTGTGTCTACTTTTGGTTTTGCAATACCGATACTGATCAGAGGCCATCATGTTTGTTCCTTTACTTTGAACACACATCTCCCATCCCGAGTGAGTGAGTCCTCCAACCATCATTGACTTAGTGATGCTTTTTCTTCTCTTTTCCTTTTTTTTTTAAGTATTTATTTATTTATGGGTCACACCTGGCAATGCACAGGGGTTACTCCTGGCTCTGCGCTCAGGAATTACCCCTGGCGGTGCTCAGGGGACCATATGGGATGCTGGGAATCGAACCTGGGTTGGCCGCGTGCAAGGCAAATGCCCTACCCGCTGTGCTATTTCTCCAGCTCCAGTGATGCCTTTTCTATCCCAACTGCCTTCTTCCCCAACTCGTGATGCAGACTTCCAGTTGTGGAGCAATCATCCTGACCCTTGTCTCTACAGTTCTTAGGTGTTAATCTATTATTTTATATTTCCAGAAATGAGTGCACTCATTCTATGTCTGTCCTTTTCTGATTCATTTCACTTAGCATGATAATCTCCATATTAGCAAATTTCATGACTTCATCTTTCCTCACAGCCACATATTATTCCACTGTGTAGATGTACCAAAGTTTTTTTTACCAGTCGTCAGTACTCGGACACTTGGGTTGTTTCCAGATTCTGGCCATTGTGAACAGTGCTGCAATACAGGTGCAGATGTCATTTTTAATGTGCTTTTTTTGCACCCCTGGGATATATTTTCAGAAGTGGTATTGCTGGGTCATACGGAACCTCAAGTTCTGGTTTTTTAAGAATGCTCATATTGTTTTCTAGAAAGACTAGACTAATTGGCATTCCCACCAACAATGAGAGTTCCTTTCTCCACACATCCACGCCAGCACTGGTTGTTCTTGTTCTTTAAGAACACGCATTTTTAAAACAGCCCAACACATGCCAGCGCACTTGAGAAGCACAGCCACCACTTCATCTCGGCTCGGCTGAGACAAGAGTACAGTGAAGTTCTGCAGCACGGCCAGAGGAACCGGCGCAGAGAGCCACCAAGAACCAGGCTCGCTGCTGCAGCCCGTCTGCTCTGACTGGCAGCAGCTTTATCTCACAGGCAGATCAAACGGTCAGGGTCCTCCCGTTGTTCATCAATTTGCTCGAGCGGGCCCAGTAACATCTCCATCGTGAGATTTGTTGTTACTGTGTCTGGCATATCGAATACGTCACGGGGAGCTTGCCAGGCTTTGCCGTGCGGGCGAAATACTCTCTCGGTAGCTGGCCGAGCTCTCCGAGAGGCGCGGAGGAATCTAACTCGGGTCGGCCATGTTGGCTGCGTGCAAGGCAAACGCCTTACCCGCTGTGCTATCGCTCCAGCCCCCACAGCCAAATAAACCCTCAATATAAGATGAGCAAAATTCACTTAGGCCATTTACCCCAGTGGGAATATGGGGGACCTCGTGGAACCTGGTTTGCGTGCCAGGAAAGTAGAAGGCTGAAAGTGTGACCACCCTCCCTGCACTCACAAATGACGGCAGCAGCCGGAAATGGCCCCGAGAACCACCTGCCAAGTTCTGGAGTGCAAATGGAGCTAATCTCCTGCCTACCACCCAGCAGATGACATGCAGTCACATTTGCTCACAGCCAGAGTGGGAGAAATCTGCCCACAGATCTTTGCTCCTATCCCATTTCTTCCTGCTTTACATATCCCTTGATAAATAAAAAATGGCCTTTGTTGTCCCTTCAAATGTTTTTCAACCTGAAATACATGTTGTCGGATACTAGTAAGGCCACCCTGGCTTTTTTAAGAGATATTTGCAGGAATTATTTTTGGCCTTACATTCCCTATAGTGTTTTCTCAGTAAAAGAGCCAGCTGTGAGCACTGTGATTTGTGTTCTGGATTTTCCTCTTTGGGAATTTGAGAGAGAATGCAACAACTTGCATGAGTATCTGTGCCAGGTCGGTACAGGTTGATACAGAGCAGTTTTTTTTTTTTTTTTTGCTTTTTGGGTCACGCCCGGCGATGCACAGGGGTTACTCCTGGCTCTGCACTCAGGAATTACCCCTGGCGGTGCTCAGGAAACCATATGGGATGCTGAAAATTGAACCCGGGTCAGCCGCGTGCAAGGCAAACGCCCTACCCGCTGTGCTATTGCTCCAGCCCCGGGTCTTTTTTTTTTTTTTTTTAACTCTTTTATTGAATCACTGTGAGGTAAGCCCTAAACAAAGCTGTTCATGATTGGATTTCAGTCATACACAGAGACGGTCTAGTAGCAGTTTTGCAGCGTTTGGCTTGGTAATGAGCTTCATATGCTCTTAGAACAGGTCAGACACTAAATGCTTGCCACCTTTTCCTTTAACTTCCCCATCAGAGCTGTGGTCAGTAGCTGATGTGTATACCCTCTGTGGATGAGGAGGATAGTGTTTTCCCTTACTAGTATGGCCACCGAGCCTAGCTTTTAAAACACTCAGACATTCTGGTGTGACAGCCTAGGATCTGTTCACCACTTAGTTACAATCTTTTTCTGTCATCAGAGTTTTGTTTTGTTTTCAGACCGTACCTGGAGGTGCTTAGGTTTTACTCCTGACTCTGGGTTCAGGGCTCTTACAGGGATCAGGGTATTGAACTCGGGCTGTCTGTATACATGCACAAGGCAAGCATTTTTCCCGCTGTATTCTCTCTCCAGCCCATGCTATTATATTTTTAATATGCTTTTCAAAATTATCCAAGAGATAGCTCAGCTAGAATTCATGCCAGGCCTATTTGAGGCTCCAGGTTCCATCCTCAGCACCATTTGGCTCCTGTGAGCACTGCCAGGGTAGCTCTGGTGGCCCCCAGCACCACCAGAGCTCAAGCAGTACCATACCACCAGGACTGACCATTGAACTGTCAGGCCCATGCTGTAGGATGAGCGTGACTGGGAGCAGCTCCAGGCCTTTGAGCACCATGGAGGAGGCCTCCCTCCCCACTATCACATGCACAATTCAGGTTTGTGATTATTAGGTCCACAGTAAGGCTTTTGATTGTAGGGTCACAACTTGATGTCTGTGGAAAGAGACTAGAACCAGGTTGATGCAGAACTTTGACCTCTGTGAGCCCTCATCACCTCATCATTCATTCTGTGGTGTGTGTGTGTGTGTGTGTGTGTTTGTGTGTGTGTGTGTTTAAATATCTAATGCATCTTTTTTTTTTGTACCTGAAAATATGGGTGTCATCTGTAAGCATTAAACTATCCTTGCTGAGAAAAAAAAATTGTCTCTCTCTAGAGACAGTTGTGTCCAGTGAGAACAAGGGTCTTTTATTTATAAGAGCAATGCACTGTACAAGAGCAATGCACTGTAATCTGCTCAAGGCTGGCACGCTCTCTCCTTCGCAGGCTTTCTTCAGTGGCAGACTGAAAGCCAAAGGGAACATCATGCTGAGCCAGAAGCTTCAGATGATTCTTAAAGACTACGCCAAGCTCTGAAGGACACCCAGCATTGTGAACAGAAACAAGAAAAATTGAATGCTCAATTCCCCCATATCTGCACAAATGGTTCCATGGAACTGATCAAAATGATATGGAACTGATCTTCACACTCTTGAGATTTCAGATAACTGTTCAGATGTTTATTTTCTACTAATTTTTCATGTTATTATTTTTACAAGGAACTATAAGGAATTGTTAACTATCCTCCTATTCTTTGATCAATGGCTTCAAAATAAAATATAATCATCTAAGTATAACCTCTGCAGCATTTGGGAAAGCGTTATAGGTTGAAAGGAAAATTAAATAAGTGAAGGCTACTTTGGTGTCTTTTGTGTTTCATTTTGTTATTTTCTCATTGATACACCACTTGAATTTTCATAAAGACACTTTTTTTGGTTTTTTGGGTTACACTCAGCGATACTCAGGGATTACTCCTGGCTCTACACTCAGGAATTACTCCTCATTGTGTTCAGGGAACCATATGGGATATCAGGGATCAAACCTGGCTTGACTGCATGCAAGGTTTTACCCACTGGACTATTGCTCTGGCCCAAAGCACTCAGTTTTTTCACTTTGCTAGTAAAGACAGTTATTCTTCTGTTCACAAATAACTTCCCTTCTCCTCTCTTTGCCTTTTTTCTGCTTTTGCTGGAAAGTCATTACTTTTATATAATCACTGTTACTGTCCTCTCGTTGTTCATCGATTTGCTCGAGCGGGCCCAGTAATGTCTCCATTGTGACAATTGTTACTGTGTTTGGCATATCAAATACATCATGGGTAGCTTGCCAGGCTTTGCCGTGTGGGCGAGATACTCTCAGTAGCTTGCCGGGCTCTCCAAGAGGGGCGGAGGAATCGAACTCGGGTAGGCCATGTTAGCCGCTTGCAAGGCAAACGCCCTACCCGCTGTGCTATCGCTCCAGCCCACTTTTGTATAATATTTATAACCAAATATTAATGATATTGCTTTCATGCATAAATGATAAAGAAGATCACTAACAAGAACTGCATTGTTCACACTGTCAGCATTTAATGTACTCAGATTTCATGTACTGAAGAAATGCTGTTCCGATGAGTGGGTCACGGAGGTGACCAGCAGTGGGAGGCAGAGATGGAGCAAGGTTCAGTCAGGGAGCCCCAGGGAGAATGTGTGAGAGTGTGTGTGTGGGGAGAATGTGTGAGAGTGTGTGTGTGTGTGTGTGTGTGTGTGTGTGTTGTGGGGTTGGGGGTTGTTGAAGAAGCAGTGGATCTAGGTGGAACTTCTGGGGGGAGACTTGGCATGATCCATGCATAGGACATTTATTTTGGAGTGCTTTGGGGATCAGTACTTGTAGAGTAAGGTGGAGGGAGTGTGTTGGGAAGCCAATGTTGCACTTACCATGAGGCCTCAGTTGATCTTTTGAGGTGCCAAAGCTGGGATGGTCCTTTAGAAGTGTCCTCAGCTACGTAGCAGTTAGGTATAGAGGACAAGGCCTTAGCAGAGCTGCAGAGAAGTTCCTAGAATGTGCTTCAGATCAGTGGGAATATTCCTAGCACCAAAAAACTGTGTCCTCAGTACTGAAAGGCTACTGGGGCCAGCCCAGCACTTTGCTTCTGAGAACTAGGATGGAGGTAACCAGAGTTTAGAGATCAAATGAGTCTTGAATTGTCAGGGCGGTGGGGGGGAGGTGTGTGTGATATTTGGAACACAGTTGAGAACTTTCCCGTTCTTTTGTTGATTGAATGAGCAGGAGCTGTGGAAGGTTTAGAAGATAAAGACATATTTGCCAGCTCTGTCGAGCTCATTAGCTTGATGGTAAGAAATTAACTGTTTTAATTGAATTAAAATAAACCTAGGGCAGTCTTTTATTGTTGGCCTTTCATAATCACTCATTCCAGTCGAGCTTAAAAGAGCTTAGTATCCTTCCACATAGAGCATGTTAAAATTAATTAAACACCGCCACATGTTAAATCATAATGTTGACTGTATATCCTGGAGATATTAAGAAACTAAATGTTTTAATTATCTTACTCATCTCTGTCAATCTTAAAGGTCAGAGTTACAGTAGCTTCTTATTAATCCTCATGCTCCTTTCACTTTCTGTAAGCTTCCTATAATATTTAATATCATTGAGTACACTTGTCTCAGCTTTATTAAAAAAGCATTCTCTTTTAGCTTTCAATAAGAAATATATTAATTTCTTAATGAACTTAGAGGTTAATCTTTTTGACTTCTACTTATCTCTTGTAATTTCCTCTGTCTCCCTGTCATCACAGGATTTTGATTAAGGTTTCAGGCCCTTTCCACTTTGGGGCAGATACTTTTTCCTTGATGATTTTATCTGTTGTCACGTCTTCAGCATTGTCTGCTGGTAACTTGCATCGTCACTTCTGCTCTCTCCGTAACCAACTACAGTTCTGAACTGTATAGCTCCTGCTCAGCTGTGAGGTTAAGGACACTGAGAACCAAATCACACATGTCTACCGTGAAGGTTCTTTGAGCTCTCCTAAATTATTATTATTTTTATTAATCTCAATAACACCTCTCTGACAGGTCAGTTTTCTTTTGAGCTTTTCTTAACCACCACTGTAGGACAGTATGTGACATCTCACAGAGCTTTATATAATCATATAAGTCATGTAATGCCACAAGAAAGTTTTCTTACATCAAGAGGACTAGATTTGAATATGAATGTAATATTGTGTCAACATTATTGCATAGGCCAACCAATACATCAGCAAAACCACATGTTTCACTATGAAATGCTGTAGTTCACGAACTTGACAAGTTTGAAGTTGGGGCTTGGAAGAGGGTTTGGTGGCTATGGCTTCTGCCTGTCAAGTGGGACACCCTGAGTTCAAACCTCAGTGCCACCTGCCTGGCTGGTTTTATTCTAATAACTCTGCTATTGGGGAACCCGGGTGAGGGGAGAAAAAGACAAAACTGGGATTATGGAAAGTAACTTTTTGAAGAGAACATTTTATTTTGATGGGGGTAGGTGGGGAGGGTGGGGGAAAGGGCAGTGCTCAGGGAGGCTGGGATCATTCAGGGTGATACTCAGCTTGGCCATGCTCTGGGTCAGCACCAGGGCACTTAAGAGGTCAGTGTAAACAGAACTACTTAAGAGGGGAGAGGGGAGAAAGTAACCTACTTTTAAAAGCCTCTAAGAAGGCAAAATAGAAAAATTGCAGACAGACCAGGGCTAACAGGCAATCTAGATTCATATTATGTATGTAGTATGTTGGCTGGAAAAAAAAAACTGAGCCGGTAAAATGTTGAGGCACGGAGTATAGGGCATTTCTTTGCACACAGCCAACCTGGGTTCTATTCCTGGCCCCCTCACATTGTCCTCCAAGCCCTGCTAGGAATGATTCCTGAGTGCAGAGCTGGGAGTAATTCCTGAGCATTGCTGTGTGTGGTTCAAAACAAATCTTGAGGCAACTAAAATTCTAAATTTTCACCTGGATGTGCTTAGTCTTCAGAGCCCATTTTATAAGCCGCTCAGTCATATCACCTTTGAGTCTGCAGAGCACAGTGGAAAAATGGAGCAATTAGGAAGAGTCCTGTTGGGGGAGCACAAGAGGCAGGAGGTTTTCTGAGGGCACAGCAAGCAGACACAAAAGGAAACCAGAAAACACAGACGGAAGGGCTTGTATCCTTGCGTTGCATTTTTTACTCTGTTTAATGTTACAAGCGTCCTCAGTGAAGAACAATGAGGGGTTATGACAGGGGGTCCCCAAACATTCTGTAAAGGATCAGATAGTAAATATTTTAGTTGTTGCAGGCCCAGGATGGTCTCAGAAGGATATTCTTAGAACAAAACAGAACAGAAAAAAGCAACAAGGAGCTCTGCAAAAGTGTTTGCAAAGAGTGTTAAAACCTTTGTCAGGACAGACTGAGGGTTGAATGTGGCCTCTCCTGGGGGCGCCTGGCCTCAGGGCTTGAGAGTGCTGGTTTAGAAAATACAGTTCTGCACTGTCCTCTATATTTGCTCTCAACATTTCTGAAAGTATGAGTTCCTGAGAATTATGCATCCATAATCCACATCTTTCCCCACATGTGTGCAGCCACAGCTGCGCCTACATGCAGTAGTCCTACTCTGACTAGCCCATGTCCCCTCTTTGCTCCCTCCCACATGAGGTCTGGCCAGGGAGTGGGACCACCATTCACTCTGGTTTCCAAACCAGCAACACGAGTACCAGCCTGGTCATCCCTGCCATGGCCATCAACATTCTTGAACTTCTGCACTCAATAAAGCTCACTTCTTCAAAATTGTTTCCTTAGATGAAAACTCAATACGGCTTATCTGTAGAGCTGCATGCCTTTTGTGTGTGAGGCCCTGGGTTCAAATCCTGGCACCAGAAAAATCTCACCAAGAACAAAAACCTAGAAAATGTAGGTGTGAAATGATGGGGTCTAAGGGAAAAGGCAGCTTTAGGATAGCCCCTAGTGCCCCAGCTTCCTCGGGGCTGACTTCACAGGGGAAGTTGAGGTAAGGAGAGCAGTGTTTGTTGGAAAAGAGACAGCCATGCACAAGTGAACATTGCCACTGTGTGTCAATCCCCAGCGTAACTGTGCGTCATGGAGCAAGAACAAGTCATGGGAGCAGGGAGACTTGGATCTTGGTTTCAAATGAGGTGGCTTTGGGGTGTGAATGAGACAGGAAGTTGGGGCTCAGAGACCAGGAGGAGCAGGATGTGCTGTGGCTGAGGAACAAATAGCTGCTCAGCATTCAGAGGTGTTGCTTAGAGAGCAGAGTGGAGAGAGCAGACCACGCTCTGTGTTCATATGGTTGCATCCTCAACTGGAGTTGGGCCCCACTGGCAACCCAAGACTCAGTTTAGTGAGTTGCTGCCTTTGCCTGTGTCTCTGGGGAGGCCCCCGGGCGTGTGAAATCGGTCACCCTATATTTCGCGTTGGGAGATTAGTAATGACCTCCCTGTACGTGTCCTCAATGAAAACAGGCCACACTGCTTTCTCCTCTGCCTGACTGAAAAATGCTCCATTTTACTGGTCTGTGGAGATGAATTTTGACACACTGGAACAAACCATTGACACTTTTTCTTTACCACTTGGTTTATTATGGAAGTTATTACAGAAATACGTGGGTTTTTTTAAACTACATATAAACATATTATCAAGTAATAACTTTCAAGACCAATGAATTTCTTTGTATCCAGGACATTTGAAGTGAATAAGGAAGACCAACTTTAGGTTGCTGAGTACATCAAATGAGTGAATCCAATTTCTTTTCCTTTTTTAAAATTTTTTTTAAATTATTTTTTAGGCCACAGTTGGCTGTGCACAGAACTTGCTCCTGGCTCCACAGTCAGGGGTCA